GTAAAGCAATTATTTTGGGCTAATTTTAATCACTACTATTTTTTTATGCACCTAATGATTCTTAACGGTCTTTAGGAGACTACTTACGCCTTCGTTTTCATTTCAATTAAATCTGGATACGATTTTGAGTTTTAATTTACAAGTTTCAGTGATTTTAGGAAGTTTTTAAACTGATCACACAAGTCTTAAACTAGACTAATAATGTATAATTTGTCTCCATCAGCTGTTGAGGGTATTATTCACGTATTATTCAAATTTCTGCATTAATGTTGATTTCCAAACAAAGGACTGTAGATGGAGGTTTTACAAAGAAATTACATCAGAAATTGTGCAAGATTCTGAAAGCAAAAATTTGGGTTAGATTAGTGCCAAATATTTAAAATTCAAATCTTCCAATATTTAAACCGCGCTCTCAATCATAGAATTACATATTAATCGATATTACGAATGCTGGCATATGTGTTGGCCATGTGCTGGCATTGCAAAGTATCGGTTTGCAAAACGAAATTTGCAACATTTTCCACTCTTCTAGACATAATGGCCTGAATTGCAACCTAGACATAGTTTCCAAACACGTATTGGTTTCTGTACATAATATACGATGAAGACTATAAGTAAAATCATTGATTAAATATACTTTCTAATCCATTTGCTATCCTCATGAATTTGCAAAAGACGGTCTTGAAATGTTTCTCATCTGTTTCTGAGAAATGCATTTTTATGTTTACCAACTTTAAAAATACACAGACCAAAAATGAATGTAATTGAATTTGCTTGTCCTCTGATACTCTACTATTAACTGGAAAATGCACAGAGCAAAACTTACTCTAAAATAGGGGAAAAACTTTTAGTTGATACAACCTACTCACAAGCATAAGCGGGCGTGAAAGACGCTTCAAAACAGGCTAAGATTTGTCTAAATACTCTCAATATCCAAAGTATATAGAAAAACTATTTTTGATCAAACTTGCGAACATAAGGAAATACTAACTCCAATTTTATGACACGTGGGAGGAAATTAAATATTTAACAACAAAACTATCGACTCCAAGAATTTGGGTTGAAAATTGAACTTTTAGTTTTTCATATTTTTAATATGAATAAAATACGTTGATTTTGATTTAGAGAATTTCCCTATAGTGAAGAAGCTATTACCGTAGGTTTGGCATGGTAAGTCCCGGGACCGTTTTACCTTTTTAATTTTGATTTTCACAGAGGACAAAACACTATTCTTTCAAAATTCGATGCAAATATAACTCGAGTAGTTTTGGTTAGATTTTTATGAATATCGGCATGAATGTCACATTTATGAATGTCAGCACATACTATAGAGTAACGTACTCTTTTAGTCTGTGGTTTAAGGCTAAGTTCGCGAACTAGTAAGATCGCATGATAGAAACAAGGTTTAGTTCTGATGGGGTGTTTTCTCCTCTAATTGTTACTCTTAAAGCATGATCATGTGCAATGTTTATTACAGCCATCGTGTAGAGCTTAAAATACAGTATGTAAATTAAGTCTTGAAACAAATCTGTATTTTTTAAACCGAAATAAATAGAAATATTCTGTTGGTGGCGTTGATTGTAAACAAAGGTTCCGTAATTTTTTACATCAAAAATATTTTTTAACCCCCCTAACTGGGTAGGGGGTGACTTATTTTTTTAAATATCAACCCCTATTGAGTGACTCCTCATTTTGAAGGGTTTGTCAAAAGAAATATAATGACGCAAATCCGAGGTAGATATTATTCCTCCCTAGCCTGAACGGCGGGTATTCCAAAATTTGATTTATGTGAAAAAGCTCCCATTTTGGAATACCCGCCATTTAGGCTAGGGGTGAGATATTCACCTCGGGTTTGCGTCATTGTGTTTCTTTTGACAAGCCCTTCAAAATGAGTCCGCAGGTTTGCTGTATCGGGAGTTATAACTAGTCTCTGCTAGACAAAGGTGGCGACAATTATTCGATGTGTGTTTTAAATTAGTCCACTCGACTAGGGTCAAGTTTATTCCGTTACATTTCTCATTTATCGGAAGTTACTATGTTGTAAAGGAGTATTTTTAAAGTGTTAAGGTAGGGTTGTGATACACGATTTCAATATGGGGTTTCACAATATAAGCGGAGCGCTGTAATTAATTTGTGGGCTACGGTATGCCAATACGATTCCGAGAAAGAAACTTCGGTGGTTGGATATCTTCCTTGTTAAGTCAAATACAAAATAAGAGGGAGACTGTGTTTTTCTTAATTATTTAGTATGTTATTGTCCAACACTTTAACAGCTTAACATGGAAAACAATCGCTTTAAATTTTAAACACCCGCTTCAAAAATCTCCCAAAATAACATTATAAATACGAAACATAATAAAAACTAAAATCCCAACAAAAATAAATTTACTATCAAATTTTGAAATTATTTTACAATACTTAAAAACATTATAATTTACTACTCTCATAATAAGAACGATAATATTTCGATTTAGCGCGGAGAAACAAAAAACAACTTTAAACTATTGTAGATGTTAGCCTCCGGATAGCCAAATAATAAATACCCCCGCCGCAGCAAACCTGTTTACTAAGCGAATTCCCATTATTGTCTGAATTGATTTTTAATTAAATATTTTTCAGGTAATTAAATCTATTTAAATAACATTAGGTTTAACGAGTAGGTACCTAGGTTTAACTAAAAGGTTTAAACTATTAAAATGGGTTTTTTAGTAAAATATCAATAGCTTAGTATGCAATAAATACATGGCCAAGTTTTATCAAAATATATCCATAAACAAGCAAACTACATACAAATTTTACAATATTCTCCATATGAATAACATGGGAGTTTTAAATTTTAATTTTTTGAATTTTCTCCTTTATAACCGTACAAAAACACTTTGATATACTAAATTATTTGCTTTTTTAAGCTCTTTAAAAAGGTCTAGAGAGAAATAGGGAAATTTTGTGTTTTGAGGGTCACAATGAGAGAAACCATTTTTTACCCCAAAAACCCTTCGTAAAACCCCGTCCCCATGGTCCGATCATGCTGGTTCGCGAACTCATTCAAGTTTATCTCGCCTTACACCTTTAAACCAAATTTCATCAAAATCCTAAAAAAAAAAATACTCAAGTTATCGTGTTCACGGACGTAAATCGGTAAATCGGTCCCGGGCCTAGGCCTTACCGTGCCACCTACGGTAATAGCTACTTCCCTATAGGGAAATTCGTTAAAAAGGTTTAGGTACAGTACCTAATATTAAAAATGAATCTGCTGATGATAGTTGATAGTGTAAAGGTATGTTTTGTCCGGAAACACCTATAGAGAAGTGAAGATATACTTCCTGTTCATTTGGTTACTGTACAGCGATCGTGTCCAAATAGTCCTAAAGTGTACGCACACTAAAAATGAAAACAAAAATATATCTCTTTGTAAACTATTCATATCCTTTAGTATTACAGAGGAAGGGTAAATAGCAAGCTCACATAGCGTTAACGGATCATACTCATAAAAGTTCGCTTCAGGTTTATCCTGATGTGAAATATACTGCAGTATCCCAAGTAGATTGACAGAAGCTAAACTTGTAGTGAATGGTAGTTACATAAGGGTCCACGTGAGGATACTACACGTGACGGGGGGCACATGGAGAGCCTCGCGACCCCCCTCGACCCCCCCCCCCCCCCCGGCCACTTGCATAATATTGGCGCTATCGGCTCGTAGGGCCTGCAATGTGACCATCCTCCTCTGTGACCTCACCTTCGTTACGAGGTAGAACCCCTAACTCTTCGGTAATACGATTGTCAGATAACCGATGTTGCGAAACACACAACGTTCGCTAAGTATTATGACAATTCCCTACATAATATTACCAAAACAATAAAGATCCTAGGTGTTTTACGTTCTGTATTTGTACAATAGTGGTTTAAATTTGATGCTTAGGAATATCTATCAGATTGAGTGTTTGGGCAGTTTTGATCTTTCAACAGTTTTTAATTTACAGATTTTACGTTTACATAATTCAATTGTTTATGATTCTGATTGTTACATTCCCATTATGATAAACAATTTATTTTAAATATACTAGGGGTATTTTTGGGCATTAACTCCCTCTCGACAGATTTTAATAATTTTGGTAGAAAAGAGTGGAGTTCATCATGCGTTTGTTTCCGAACAAATGAAAAAAGTCAATCCTAATAAGGACATAATCTTGAAGTTTGATCGCTTACTTTAGAAATGGCAAACATCTTGGGTGTTTAGTAAGAGGGATTGGATATTTGACTTCAGATATACTATCATGAGTTTAAAATGTTTAAAAATGAAGTTAAGAAATTGGTAAGATTTGGAACCATTCTCACTGCCGGATTTAGGGTACCTGGTACCTGCGGCCTTAGGCTAAATTACTCGAGCGCTCCACCCCTATGGGGGAAATTCCTGGCCGTTGAAGAAAATAAATAGTAAATATCCCCCGTGGGCTGCAATCATGGATACATTCATCGACACCCACAACCGTGGCAAAATCATGAACATTTCCCATGGGCCGCAATCACGGTGATATCATCAGTGTCATCGTTAACATCTTCTGTGGGCCGCAATCACGGGGACATTATCATTGTTGACCGCAATCGCAGCAAATTGATAATAAAAAAAATATTTATATCGTCAATCCATTGCGGCCCCCTTTTACTTTAACATCTAAATAGGGGTTTGGTATCCAGACTCCTTGAAGAGGGGGGATTTCAGATATGTAAGTTTAATATAAGTCCATATAACAGAATATTTACAAGTTAACAAATCTTTATGAATTTCATGCAAAATATTGCGGGGTGGACTCATCTTTTTGGATCGATGCTTGCTTAGCTTATATTCATTAATGTTTCAAGAATATCAGGTATCAACACAGGACAGTTGGTGTGAAAATGATAAGTAAATATTTCTTAAGACAAAATCAATACATCCATAACTTTCAAACAGACATTCATGGTGCTTAAAAAGTGATAAGAGATTGTTAAGATATGCTGTATTTCTTGTCTGTATGTCTATTCAACACAATCTTTTATGATTATTGGGTGAGAGTAGATGCTAATTATTTTAAAGATGTAAGTATAATATCAATGTGAAATTAATATTAAGCTATGCTCCAAGAAAGGATAAAGTTAAATGATGCTGTTAAATGATAGAATTTCTTTATTTCTAAAGCTAGGATTACTTTGATTTAATTCTAGGAAAAAAAATTCTATTAGGGTTGTTATAAGGTCCCTCCCCTCCTTTTCCACTATTTATCTTCATAAGTGAATTTCAATGATAAGATTAGGTCTAAGATGTAGGAGACTGTCCAAATTTCTTATGAGAAAACAATGCAGAGTGTCTAATTACACTGCTTTCCCTCTTAAAACGAGTGGTGCAATTTTAATTCAAAAAGTTTGAACTATTTTCAAGATATCCAAGATCCAGGGTGTAGGAGTTTACATAAAAGTTTTAATGAGAAGCTAGTTATAGGACATCTCAAATACCACCACTTCCCCCCTAAAACAATGTGAAATGGAAATTCAAAAGAGTTGTATTTACATATTCTTTGAAAAGATATATATTTTTTTAATGGGAACAGATATATTTATCTGGTTTTATTGAAAAACAGGCAGTGTTATTTGGAGTTTCTCATTAATAGCTTCTCAATAAGGTTGACTCATACATCTAAGACCTACTTACTATTAGGTCATATTTATAAATCTTGATTTCACCAATGTTTTCAGGGGCCAATGTTGGTGTTATTTGACATGTCACATGACTAGCTGGTTAGATCTTAGAGCTTAGATAAACCCCCCCCCAATTTTTTATTACGAAAAAAGTGCAAGTATATGAACAATCTATCACACCAATACACTATTGAAAGTCACTTTTATATATAAATTGTAACAAAACATAGTTAGGGGAAGGACTTTACAACCACCCAGGATAGAAAGAGTTGAAGAATTACTATAAAGCGGAAAGTGTTGATACGGAAATAACATGAAGTAAACAATGAATAACAAATTTGTAAAGCCATGTAAAGCCCAGAAAAGGAGATTGATAGTGTATTTTTGTTAAACCTACTAAGTTCGGATGGAATGTTTTATCTCGACTGTCTAAAGCCTGTCTGATGTTCACTGAGTCGGTGGATGGTTGGTAGACACTAGCCAGCGATGTTGAAGGTTCGAACCCGGTGCTGCATCTTGAAATTTATAAGTATTGTTTATTCTTGTACTGCACCTCTTCACACCTTGCTTTGTATATGTGCCATAGAGGCCAATTTGGTCAGTCAAATTCAAGGTTAAAAGAGGCCACCAACTTCTTAAAATAACAAAATAAAAAAGAATATACTATTCATGTTTGATATTAAAACATTTCTTAGTTTAAAGCACTGTCGATTTTCAGAAATATGGCGACAGAAGTGTGCACGAGCCTTTATGGAAGCCGACTCCTTACACCCCTCAACTTTACAACTTGTTTGTCTATGGCAAGACAAAGAAAACTGAGATTAATCACTACTGGATGAGTAATCCGGAGAATGGACTCAGCAAGTTCATAGGAATGGGCCAAACAGTGAAGAAGTATCCTATGATCATTGGCAAGTACAAGACACCGGTCCTCATGGATAAGCCGGGCGTGGGACATGTAAGTACAAGATGTTGGCTTTTGAAATTGCGTAAAAGTGTATTTTTTTACTGTGTTGGGTAATGAGCAAGGTCACATATGTATGAGTTTCTTCCTAATTTTGACTGATTCACACCTAATAGAGGCCTAACATTTGTAGAGCTATATAGTAGGGGGAAACAGGTAATTCAGGCTGTTCCCTGTGTTTAGGAGGTAGCCAATTCGATCCTGAGAAAAGTCAAAAGCTTTTTGAAGGTTCGAAACCAGACCCAGCTGTCTTTAATCTTTAACCTTTCACATTTGAGATTGATTTTAAAACACAAGAGTTGACTTAAAGCAACTTTCCTAGGGTAATGAAATCATAGACAAATAGTGTAAATGTATATATATATTGGAAATAAACACATATACAGCATAGATTAATGAGATAAATATGTAATAGACTATAAAAAGTAGGGAAATAATAAGAGGAAATAAAATATAAGAGGTGACACGGAACTCCGAGGCCTCTTTTGTGTCTGCGTTGTAACATTGTATCTAATCCACTCCAAAGATTTGGGGTACTAACAAAGCCCCAAACAGGGCTTTTTATTTACAGGGTTTTAATATGTAAAAATGTGTAACCTGTACTTTGGGGTAGTATTTATAATAATTATTTATAAATAGGCTACATGCCGTGGTTCAAACTAATCACTTATTGCATATAAGCACATTGGTTCCTCACTAATCAGGCTAAGTTGAAGTGTGCTGCTTACTAACTCATTAAAAATTATCATACTAATTGTTACAATTCCTTCAGCAATTTCAAACGAATTCTGTGAGTAGCAAGCAAATACCTAGGTATATGAGCATCCTGCCTCTAGACCTTATGGTTGAGATAAATTGTTAAGATAATGTAATAATGTAAAAAAAAAATGATTTGATGTAATAATGGAGGTAGTTAAAAAGTGTTTGTAAAAGTTATATTTCATGAAAGATGGTACAGCAGCATAAGGTGTTATACTATAAATTTTGAAAAGAGTTATAATTTGCTTCTACTTTTTTTCGTTTTACTCTAAACACCTTAAAAAATACTCTAAATAGCTAAAAAAAAGCTTAACACGTTAGAGTCGTATTTGTAGTTACAGAGCATATTTTAAGGGATTTCCACTGGGCGACAGTGGCGCCGGACTTACTGGGGGGTATGGAGTACCCCCCATCAAAAAGGGGAAATTTTTGCATAAGTTAAAGTGAAAATCACACATTTCTACGTATATTTTAATGAATTTGACAATTATATTTGCTTGTAAATAGTTCATATAATCTCACTTAATTACGTATTCTAGAACGTTGTAGGCCAAGGTTCCCTTCACAACCTATTGGACCAAAATCATAGCTCGATACTCTAAAATATTTACATAATGTTATTTTAAATTCTGATACATTTAAATGTGAATCATAAAAAAAATATGCCGGCTCCACCCACAGTCACTGGGCGCATGTTATTTTATGCCCTGTAGTTGAAAATAGTTTAATAATAGGTGTAAAGGTTTAAATTTGTTTATGTTACCGGTAGCTAATGTTTTGATTGTTTTTTTCTTCAGAAAATCTTAGGGGAGATCTATCTGGTTGATACCTTCATGATGAAGAACTTGGACATGTTAGAAGGAGTACCAGTGTTCAACGCACGAAAAGTCGACTCAATCAGAATATTTACAGAAGACTATCCCAAAGGAAAGGAAATGCTTTGTTGGATGTACTATGCTAAAGTAAAGCCAATCACCGTGCCTGGATTAAACTATGTTTCTGAATACATTTCTAAAAATATACCTGAATATTAAATAACCTTTAAGCGATTCTATGATCAACTTCATCCCTTGATATTTTCTAAGTTCTTCAATTTCTAAATAAGCGTACCACATAACAGTTAAATTTGAAATCTCATATTACATTTAATTTATGTCTTAGGTATTGGCAAACATAAAAATTAACTAAAAGGATGTTTTATTACTACAGATTTTTATACTGTATATGAAGGTGATTTTACGTTATTTATTTATATGTTGGCATTCACCTAATAGCCATTACACGGTACAGTAAATGTCTCTTTGTTGATTCATTTGTACCTTCAAAAATGAATGTAGTTATCAAAATAGATAAATAATTACTTAAATTTTATCTGATGATGGAAGCTAAGACTTCTGAAAGTGTAATAAAGCTAAAGGCCTGCATGTGGGATCTATATTTGTTATAATGTCAGAATGTATAAAAACAGTCACAGAAGCAACACAATTGCGAGTAAAGGAAAAAAGTGATGATAACTAAAGTACTTACAATTTACAATCTTTTTATGCAAATTCATTCTAATAATTTATATACTTTTTACTCAAAATTAGAACATTGGTAGCGTGTTTGAAATTATAATCTTTCTTAACAGCATTTTTTATTTACAAGTAAAGTCATTAATAGTTTCTTGAACTACAAGAAAAACTATTGCTGTAAAGAAACCAGTAATATGACTTGAAATTGATATTATTACATCTATACAACTACACAAATTTTAGATACAAAACATTTCTTAGATCTAACATATACGGGAGACAAAAACAACTCAATTGTAGATAATAATAATCATTTATTTGCTCTTTCAAAAATCTCAAACAATATCAGATCAAGAAGACCTGAAAACTTCCATTCTACAATGTCCATAGCACCTTATCCATACATAGTCTATCGATAGGAATTTTGTTTATGTCCAGCGTCCTCTAGCGAATACAAGTTGTCAATGTGTCAACACTTGAAAACCATTTGATTATCACATGATCCAAAAAAATGTTTAAACTATTAGAGATAACAATAACGGATTTAGATTTACAATAACTAACTAGTAACCTAGAATCATATCTTGAACTGTATCTATTTGCAATGAAACAGAAGAAAAAGTCAAAAGTAACGAGTATTTTTTATACAAAAAGAGAATTGACAATTCTCTAATGTTTATTACTAGAGAAATACAGGTGAAGCACTATGTCTAAGTTACCAGCTGTGTAGAGAAGAGCGTAATGCCAACATTGCGAATAACAGAAATATTTGCTCCTCTTTTTACAGTTGAAACACGCAAACTCAACACATTTTAGACTCATAGGCTGTTGTTAATGTAAAGTCATCGGAATAATTTACCGTCTGAAAAATTTAATGAACATTATTGATTTGAAAATTATTACTAACTTAAAATGATCGCACATAATTGTTTTGGCAAGAAATATTGTAGGGCATATTTGAGGAGAAATTAAGAAAACATTATAAATTGACAAAAGCTTTCCAAAGAGTCAAGTTTGTGGGACTCAACTATATACTTAAAACTGCATGCTATTTCTGTATTAACTGTTTATATTTATTACAAGGCATATTACAAAAAGTCTATTCATTTTATAAACTAATCTAGTTTCAAAAATTGACTGATTGAAACAAATTTGAAAAATAGACAGGTTGAAAGATATGCCACAAACATTACCAGAGATATAACTAACTTATTAATTCTATGCATTTTTAATACGTGCTATAAAGGATAAAATAAATATAAGTATATTTGACATATTTGTACTTTTTGAAAGATTTTGTAATTGAATAACCATTTTGATATTAGTTTAGTTATGAAAGCAAAGAGTTGAAAATGTTAGTTAACAAACATGCATCATGATTATTTGTTTTTTTTATCACAAGTTAGGTAGCATTGTATTTAATACATCATAACTATGTACCTTAAACGGGTTTATTCCAAAATAATTAAAAAAAAATTTAATCACGATAACAGAAACAAAGAATTGTAATGTTTTGCTCAATATCGTTATCCTTCTACTACAAAGGAGGGCAATAATGATCAGCATCTGCTCAATGTTGTCTGTTAGTTCAATTTGTTTTCAAACTTTATAAGCAGTATTACAAATAATCCTTTAACTCGTCAACTGTGCCAATCTAAGGGGCAGCTTTTCAGTTGCTACAAGTACAGCCTGGGTAAATGTTTTTAAAAATTGAAATTTTGTTTATTACTAGTATTTTAAATTGTGATTTCTCTTAGCAAATTGAGGTTTTGCTCTGACTTGTAGTCTACCTAATTTGGAGTCTTCTAACACTACAAGGGCAAGCAACGTTCAGACTTTATAAGATCAGTCAGCTAATGGGTAATGGAATCTGGCCAAGACAGTTGTCATGACGACGGAAACAATCAATATTACAACTCTGTTGGTGAGGAATAACCTATTCCAATGTTATTTGGCTGTACCTAGCAAATTAGGTTTGATTTTGCCGAATGATCCAGAGCAGACATAAAGATCGATGTCTGATAATAAACGGACACAAATCTTGAAAGTAATAAAATAAAGATGAAAGTAAATGAGATGCTAACGATGTTTTCACTGTCAATTTAGGCTTCATGATACAATAGTTATGCTGTGTTTAGGTAGTGAATACTTCAGAGATTCGTGGCGTATTAATAGGAATTCAACACAGTGGTATATTTTTAATATTTTTAAAATTTGTAATTGAGCGAGCCTTTAAAATACGTAATTGGAGTCATTACACACTTTTGTGTGGCTCTAAGAAAATACTTAGTTTTTACTAGATTTTCACGATTTAAAATCTATTAATATGTGCTTGAACTGCGGAAGAAGACTGTTCTTCAACATTCTATATGTTGAACTCTTTAACATTAAGTCTGTAGACAACAAAATAAAAACGATCCTTTATGAAACTTCCTTCTTAAGCCCCCTTCCTCTACTGTCATGCATTCATGACCTTAGAGCCATCACTGATCCAGCTTAGCACAGTGTGAACCCTGGTCTTTTACAGTCCATATGTAAAAGCTGAGAAAGAGTAAGACTTACTGCAAAAGTTTCTTTAAAGAAAACAGTGGATTTAAAAACAAACAATCATGATGACATATGACATATGTCGATAAAATAAATACATTTTGTGAGAACTCTATGATAAATACTGATAAGAATTTAGGAATTGCTTATCTCTTTGTATGTATTACACATTTTATTTAATAATTCCTTATATATATATTGTATATTATGATAATATATTAGTATTCAATATTATGTAATTCATTATGTATTAGTATGTACTTTAAATGGATTTATGATAACTGAAATGAGTTTTCATCACAAATAAAGAAGATACAATTAAAATTTTAAAGAAGAGTTTTTTTAAACATTAATCACTCCCTTAATATAAGATTATACAATGAATTAAGCACTATTCATTTGATGAAGAATAAAATGTCATGAGTATGAATAAATGAAATGACTTTACCTAACTAAATAAAGCATTACAAGAAAGTAATCTAGAATTATACCATACAACAAACATGTCAAGTATTATGTGTACATTGCACTCATTGTTTGTGAAGCTAAAAGAAAAAAGATTATAATATAAAACAATAAAGACAAGCGAATATAATTGATCAACAACATATTCCAGCTATAGACTTATAAATTCTTAAATTATATTTCTTTTTTACATGCAAAAAATATTTCCATATAGTACAATAATATTATGTAACTAAGCATAAAGTTATACAATGTGCATTAACACAAACTTTACAAATGAATCTTTAAACAAAGATTGGTGAGTCATTTCTGAGGAGTCCAGAAAATTTAAACGAGTTAAAATAGTATGTTTCATCACTTTGAAGATTCTTTTTGACAGAAGCTCAAACTTAATAACCGAGGAAAATCCGAGGTTATAAAATGAGCAGGGGTCAAAAGGACTTTACGGCCCTTGCTGAATTATTTATTTGTCATACTGCATTATTTTTCAGGCAGGCTAAATCACAAAACAAAATGATGTATGTTGTGTATCCATCTTAACAAATCAGCTCTCAAAAATGTGTTTACAGTATCTTGTTTTGTTACATGAATAAACAGCTATTCTGATGTGCTACACTATTTGGTTGTTTTGGTTCTATCATAGACAAAAAGAATGAAATATAGACTGTCAGCCGTGCTGTGGTTACCATGGTTACCATAGGTTCCGGCGCACACCGCTGTAGTTTACGTAGCGCGTACGCCGTAACTACCGTGGCGCTCCCAGCGGTGTGCGCCAGAACCTATGGTAACCGCAGCACAGCTGACGGTCTATATTTCATTCTTTTTGTCTATGGTTCTATGAAGTAAGTAGGAATGAAAACAACTACTTTAGTCCCTCAACATATGTATACAAACAGCTGTTTTTGCAGCAGACATATGTAATCAGCTGTTTTTTAAATAACGCCAAATTACAACTTTAAGTTGTCCTTTGAGCAAGATGAGTTCTGGGGGTTTTCAATAAGTGCAAATTTTAAAATAATTTAGTTTTAAGTTCCAATTGGGGTCAATTACATAGAATCATTTACTGAATAAAAAATCATTTTTAAACAGAGTTTTCAGAAAGTTTTTATTTTAATTTTTACTCAATCAAATTGAAAAGTTTTCTATAAGTTAATTAATTAGTTTTCTTTTTACTGAACTCTTTTCTCCTTTTTTACACAGATGTTGTACTAAATGATCTTTCTTTTTATTAATTATAGCCAATTGCAAATGGTAGGTTTGGGTTAATGCACTATAACTGATATAAGGAGCGATAAGGATAGTGACAACTAATTGAAAATTATCATTCATAAAATATTCAATAACATGATAAGATCAAGAGACTCTAAAACATTTATGGAAATTAAAAATATCATTAAAATAAAAGGAAGTTAGTATTACAGTATGCAATTTCATGACTCTTATATATTATGTACTGTATTGTAATTACAGTTAGTATTATGTTTAATTCTTTGAAATGTGAATGTTTAGTTATCATAGTAACAATTCCACAAGCCTGTTTTGGAATCTGGAATGTTTACTCATACGAAAGATATCATGAAAAACTCCCTTTTTATACATATTTTAAAACTTAATTATTTTATTTGTAAAGATTGTTTTATTTAAAATTTACAAAGATTTTGGCACCAATTAAAATTATAATTTTTTACTTTACCTGTTTTACCTAACAATATTATGCAAAATCATTAGAACAAAAAAATATTTAAGCTACATCTTATCAAAAGGTTAATATAAACTAAAACTTTACAATATACAAAACATAAAACGTGAAACATAATAAAATAAATCTACTATATAAATAATACATGTGGATTCAGAAGCTTTGGTAATAAATAATACAACAGCATCCAACATGTATCAATTCAATTCACATACTCAACACATTTCAAGTATTCTGCAACAACAAGGTATTTCAACACTAACACTATTATTTACATATTTTTATTTTAATACGATTTCTTACAAGTATATTACATAACCCTACCAGTGTCATTGTCGAATTATCTGCAAAGTATATAATTAATCCGTGTAGGGTTATGTTTTCAGTATTATAACAGAGACTTAATAATTTTTACTACTATCTTTGAACTCTCTCTGGATTATATTTAACTTACAGAAATGATAATAGATCTATCTAACAAACTAAATCAAACAAATATACATAACAAAATATAAGCCGGTTAATGTGTAGATAGAGTTTTTGAAAGTTGTTATTTCCTCTAACCGATTTTGAAACCTGATTTTGTTTTTTTAAATTTATAATTCAACATAAGTAATTTAACGAGTGTTAGTACATCTTGATGCTTTCAAACTAATATTAAACATGGAACGATTATTACACATCACAAAAAAAAACTGTCTTCTTGTTTGGCTATTTAAGACATTCTTAAGTTCCTTACAGGTAGATGTTTTCTAATTTTTTTTCTTTTCATTTGTTAACATTAATGTTTCTTCCTTGAAACTTTTGGTGTAAAGAACTTTCATTCTGAAGAACTGACACCCCGACAAGCTTTGAAAAGAACTTAGATCTTGACAGACGGAATTAGTGTTACCAACATAACCACTTCAAAACCAAATATAGGTTCCTAACAAGTAAAAAATGTCATGTTATTTGACAAACCATCTTAAAAAACATCAATGAAGAAAACCATTATCGCTTGCATTTAGTACCAAACACTCTTAAAATTACATAAACAAATAAAAGCCAACCTTATTTAAAGATTTTTATTCATGAAAAAATAACATATTTTCTTCACATTTTCATGTCTAGAATTAAATTAGAGGAACAGAATTTCTGTGAGATAAATTGATTTTCCTACAGTAAAAGCCCTCTAACATGTTAATGTTGAATCCAAGGTTTGGTCCATAAATCATCTAAGCTGGACAAAATTATACTTAGATATGAGTTATCCAACTGGTATTACTTCATGAACTATAACAAAGAAAAGCCTTTTTAAAATTATATAAGACATTACATAAAGATCAAGTTGATTCAAAAGTTGATTGTTTCAAAAGTTGTTTTGTTTAGAATAATGGTTGGTCATTAATCTTAAATTATTCAGCATCAAAACTGTTTTTATTTGAATGCATTTTCCTTGAAGGAAGAAAATGTAAATTACATCGTTGCACAATTTAAATTTAAACAGAGCTATAGTCAATCTTAAAAACAGAGTTTAGCTGTTAAATGGGCCTTTACTGTAAATGGGACAACTACTGTAATTTGTATTGTACCTTAAAAACTGATCAAATGGTTCAACATAAATAAATTGTCATGATAAAACTGTTAAAATGGGGATAAAACTAAGTGAAAGAAAACATCCACTTAAAATGTCCAACATTTATTTTTTGCACTTAAAAAACTGGCTACCATTTAAGTCTATTACTTAGTATTTTTTGTGTTTGATTATTAACTTAATTAAATATTTATAAAAGATTGAATTGTAATTTTTGATTGCTCTGAAGCAAGTAAACATTTCACCATCCTGTTTTCTAAGTAGAGAGTGACAAATTAATCAAACGCAGAAAATCTATAACCAGCAAAATCTGAAGACAAATCTTTATTGGAATTTTAAAATCCAAATACACGAACAGAATCAATAATAACAAAACAAGTAACAAGTGATTAAACAAAAGCATAAAAATTATTTTTTACATCAACAGATTTAAGTAGTATTCTAAGACAGAAGTAAAACATAACTAACACTGTATTAAGCCTTTACAAATAATATTTTGATTACAATCAAATATATTACAATTTACAGACCTTAGAGTTACTTTAAACTACATATAGCCTGTGCATGTAATGGGCAAATCTCTGTAAATGTACATTTCTCCATTGGCTTATTTATACTGTGCCTGATCAAACAGTTAGATAGCCCAAAGTCTTATGAACAAAATTCTTCACATGCTAGTCAGAATACATTCTTACAGGAACCCTGTATATATAAATATATCAGTAACCCTGTCTATAAAAGACATATCTTGTAAAAAAATAATTATGTTTTTCACACAACAGAGTATGTAAATACTATCACTGAAAGTACACTAAAACGAATATAAATACATTATTATGATTCCATCTCTAGACATACTCTTCCTCGGGCATCGAACCTAAAACAAACTCAATTTATGTAGTGGTCAATAAAGTACTATTTGTCATTATTCGAAATGAGATTCAAATACATAAAAACTTTAAATTGCAATAGATAAGCACTCAAAGTAAAGAGTCCAAGAAATGCTTAGTAATTTATATGTATCCCAAAAAATAATTTTGCAAACCAACAAAAACTTAAACAAGTGATATTTATAACAAACAAATATTATATTACATCAAAAATAATGTAATTCTGTACGATCTCAAAAGTTCGACAAATGTTCAAAACGGCCAATCCAAATTCCACAAACAATAGGTTTACTGGAATCTGTTTTAAGTGGGATGCAGGGTTATTAAGAGTTGTGGATAGTAGAACATAAGCTACTGGTTCTGTTGCACTGAGCGGATGTAAACACCAAATCAACATTCTTCATCAACTTCAACTTATGATACAGTGCTAGGTAGTAAAACAATGCACAAAATACAGTATCAACACTATGACATATTCACTAGCACAGATACTTCCTCTACCTTGCAAATCGTAACCATTAAATGAGAAGATACAGAGTGTCAATGGATAAAAATCACATGTTGTTTGTTAAATGCAGAAATCACTCAGACATTTGAATCACACAATCGGTAATCGATTTCTAAAAGAACTTTTTATTGATTAAATAAAAACAGTAGAAAACTCCATAAACCAAACTAACTAGGACTAATCAGTAATCACTAGGTTAGTGAAAATTAAGGTTAGGCAACGTTTTATTATTATGATGTCAATTACAGTAGACTCCCTCTTATCCGAACACCTTTTAACCGGACATCAGTTTAACCGGACTACACTCGGTGGAAATGACATTTCTTTAACTGGACAATTTTTATCAGCATATCGGTTTAACCGGACTAGATCAGCAGGAAGTGGGCGGTACTGAAACGACTGTTCTCGTGGGAAAGATTTGAGACCAGTGATCACGTGTCTAAATACAGTGCTCTCCTAAATTTAAGTCAAATACTGCATACAGTATGCATTTAAACGGTCCGTTTTAACGAGTTTTTGGGGACGTCGATTTAACCGGAAAAAATGTTATCCTGTAGTAGACTGGAGTAGACTGTATTGAGTTTATAAAGGGTCAGTGGCGGTTCTAGGCCTTGTCAACAGTGGTTGGGGGGGGGGGAGGGCTAACGGGGGTGTTTCAAACTAGGAGGGAGATCCGGGAGTCCTTCCCCAGAAAATTTTCTATTTAAAGCCGTTTGGTGAATTTTAAAACCATTTTAACGCCTAGAACTGTGTCCAAAAACCAATGTTACGTTTTTATGAAAAAAATTATATTTCAATTTTCCCTAGGCTCCAACTTGGAACCGCCACTGTAAAGGGTATTAAGAATCTGTAAAAAAGTGTAAAAAGTTAAGGCCATAAATGATGTATTCTAGTAGGCCTTCACAACATTTAAAACTGCATTGTACAATCAAGGTATGATGCATATGACAGGATAGTGCTTAACACGTTCAGTGCTGACTACGTCAATTGATGTAGTCGCCCCACGAGCGGCCTACATCAATTGATGTAGTTGCGCAACTCCCACTTCATTAGTTCAGTATGAGCTCAGCCATTGCCGGGGAACGTTAAAATCGTTGCTAGCCTGTAGCTTAGAATGAGAGCTTTATTTGGGTGTAGGTTGGTACTAAAATTTCCCGTAAAATCCCGTCTGACAATGATTTTGTCCCGGTTTCGGGGATTTTCTCTCTTCAAGCCATATTACAAAGCCACTGACTACTGATCCAGGCAGTGCTGCTACCTTTGGGTGTTTTAGGGAACTCGGGCTAACATAGTACAATCGCCGCTGCTCTTTTGTTATTCGTCACATTGTAATATTTGAATGCCAATTGCGTTCGCTGTTACAGTATCGCGCCGGGGCTTTGCCCGGACCTCGCCGCCATTGGCGAGCGCCTGTTGGAGTGCCTGCCGCACTGAACGTGTTAAGATGCAAGAAGGCAAATGACCTAGACCCCTAAACAAAACTTGTAAATTCTTATGCATACTAAATGCACAACTGAATAGGGTAAGGCAGAATTGTTTACTAGTAAAGTAAGGCATGTTTTTTTATCAATGGTTCTCTACTATGAAAACATACTACTTGACCTCCTTGATAGTGTGTGTATAGTTTGTGGGTTGTGGGTAAATTCTACAAGGTTACTCACCAGCATCCTGTTAGGAGTCTGAAGACGAGGATGAATGATTCTCATTATTTTCATCGTTATTTTCACTACCTTCAATGCAGCGATTCTTATTATTTGAGCCGTGACAAATGTATTTTCCTGTAAATATTAATGTCACATAATAATAGTGAAATGAGTCATTATATTTGAACTAAGAATATTCAACAAAGGCCTTAATGGATAATGGATTATTTCTGTCAGGTGACGTCATTAAAATTGTTTTCAACAGAAATCACACCTGTATATCTTCTCAAAATGTAAAGGTCGCAAGCCTTCAAGTTTTCTGTCATAAGTCATTTTTCTTCACTATTGACATCTTAGTTATAGACATAATTCATTTCCTTTCCTTTTCCTAAATAAATGCATAATATCCATCAATAAAGACTTTGTAAGGAAACAAATTAAAGTTGCTATATATTTTATCACTCACAACTATAAAGATAAACTACAATTTGCATGATTGGATTCTAAGTTTGGTTAAAAGTCCTTTGAAGATTTTGTGAAAATTATGTGAAAAGTTAGAATAGATAAGTCGTGAGTATTCTTGAAACTGTGCCCTTGTTAGCGAATTTCCCTATAGGGAAGTAGCTATTACCGTAGGTGGCACGGTAAGACCTAGACCCGGGACCGATTTACTTTTTCATTTTGATGTCCCCAGAGGCCAAAAACACCATTCGTTCAAATTTTTATATATGTATATATATATATACGTCCGTGAACGCGATAACTTGAGTAATTTTTGTCCGATTTTGATGAAATTTGGTTTAAAGGTGTAAAGCGGGATAAACTTGAATGAGTTCGCGAACCAGCACAATCGGACCATGGGAACGGGGCTTTACGGGGGGTTTTATGGGGTAAAAATAGGTTTTTCTCACTTTTGACCCTCAAAACACAAAATTTCCCGATTTCTCTTTAGACCTTTCTAAAGAGCTTAAAAAAACAAATAATTTAGTATATAAAAGTATTTTTGTTCGATTATTAGTAACGAAGAAAATTAAAAAAATTGTAAATTTAAAATTCCCATGTTATTCTTATGGAGAATATTGCCAAATGTTGTAGTTTGCTTGTTTATGGATATATTTTGATCAAACTTGGCAAATTTATTTATTTTTTACTAAGCTATCAATATTTTACTCAAAAACACACTTTATTAGTTTCCTTGCAGCAGCAAACCTAGGTACTTGTTAAACCTAATGTTATTAAAATATATTTAACTGAAAATCAAATCAGACAAATGGAAATTCGCTTAGTCGGCAGGTTTGCTGCGGCGGGGGTATTTTGCATAACCATAACCAAGTAAATAGGATTTCACAGTTTGAGTTTTGGATTCTGAGATACAATCTTTTAAGTTTTAGTTTCAGTTTTGATATTGTAAATTTTGGGTTTTGAACATAACACTGATACTATCTTTTGAGATACCAAGAGTTATAGAGAACTGCTCACATGAGTTATAATTGTTGTGGTTCAGTAGATAATAAAAACAAGTACTGTTCCAGTAAACTAAATAACCCTGACTTCTCATAGGTCAAGTCTCATGGGTCAAAAATGTAGAAGCACTTGTCAGGTAGATTTTGTGAAAACAAGTCACCAGTAAATAGAATTTTTTTTTAAAGATAAAAGTGAACAAAACAAAAAAAAAACAATAGGAAGTAAATTGTCAAGATTTTAACACATTCTTTGTGCAAACATTATATTTGTGAGTTTGTGGTTCAGACTGTATAGCGGACTTTGAAAAAATAGGAGCAATGTTTTTGTTTTTTATTTCAATGACACAAAAAATTTTGTTTGCACTGTTATTTACGTCTATACTCCCTTTACCAAATAGACTGCATGAAATTTGTTCAAGTTATTGGAATGTTGCTAAATATTTATTAGATTCTATTGAGTTAGAATTAGATATTAAAATATCTATCAGACCATTTTTGTGTGATTTGCTTCAGTTGTATATGATCTATAAACATCAAAATTCAAGGTCAAAGAACCTTATTTGTTTTATACTAATCAAATCCCAGTTCCTGTTTTGCTTCAGCATACGCTCTCAAAATATAGTATCTGTACTTCTAGTACTAACCTGACACAAATCTCTTCTTGACCAAAGACACCCTAAATCCAGGCCCTTGCAGTTCTAGGTCCACGCCAGAAAGAGTAGTTCCCTCACAGTTGAACTGGACAGCGATGATGCCGATGGAACTGGGACCTTTGGCCACCTCAAACCTGGCACGCAATGAGCCAATTGGACCATTCTCTGTGAGATCCGATAGCTCTGTGAACCTCCAAACTGCGCAGTTGTTGTTCTTGTCCCTGAAATAAATCCAAAATATCAGTAAAAAGGTAAGTATTGTTAAACAATGAAGAGAAGTTATATAACCTGCTTCTTCACTCCCCTTCCCCAAGATTGCAGACACTGTGACGATCAACTTTCCGAACCTTTAGATAAGACAGTAGATTTTGTTACAAGGTATTAGTTTCAAATTGTGTATAGTTTTTGTCAGGAGTTTTGCTATTCAGGTTTCTTTTAGTCCCTCACTACAGTAACTAGATTTAATAAATAATAGAAGGCTCGAATCTTAAATTTTCTACTCGTGTCGTTAACACTATTTATGGGAGTTGCATACACTACTTTACCTACGACAGTGTAAAAATCACCAAGTACTCATAACTTCTAAGAGAGGTTATTGTTTTTGTTTATAACCTCTCATTGCCACTGACGGTGATGCAACGAAACATTGTACCAAACACGAATTGCACCACTCAACAATTAAATTGGCCTGAACAGCTGATTAGTTAAAGTTCGAATCATTTCAATTTTACTTCTTCTCTCTTAAACCTTGAACCTCATTGGTCCGTTACCCGTGTTGTTATTAGTAAAACTATGGTGCTATGAAAGTAAACAATGCTGTTATGTGAAACTTTTCAATTCAAAGAACTGAACTGAAACGGCTACTTTAAAAAACGGTTATAGATAAATAAATAAACCTATGCGTTCAAATGGTTAAAGCTTTTACATAATTGTTTTGGCGTAGCAAGTTACCAGGTTAACATTGCCAAAAATGGACCAAAAATGTCTATTCTATTATAGCAATTTAGATTTTTCAAAATTTTTTTGTATTTTTAGTAACTGAAGTAACTATCTTAGGAAAAAAATATATTTAAACTTAAGATAGTTTTAATTTTTTTAAATGAATAAAACAAGTTACCGTTTTACAATGGTTGAACATTCATGATGGTATTCCAGTTCAAAGAGGCAAAGTCAATCTCTAGTGTTCTAGCTATACTAATCCACCCTTGCTATTTATCTTGAACATTTTGAACACACATATTTTTGTTTTGAAAATGAATAAAGTAAGTTACCATTCAGCTTGAGGCTCAGCATTCATAGCTTTGACATCCCCGTCTACAGGCACCGACACTGATAGGTTCAATAGAGGGGAGGGTGATCCCATAGCCTTCTTGTTATACATGTAATCTACCCTGATGTCTGTCTGGTTCTTCTCGCACTTCCAATAAGCCACTAGTTGGAACGGACAAGATGCAGCCCCTATAAACGGTTTCACCTACAACAGTAAACAATGTGAATCAGAGTAAAAGTTAGGTTAGGTAATGTTACATAGTTGCATATCTAATGGCACCAAACAGTCACCAAACACGAACTAACCTTAAAATTTCTTTCTTAAACCTTCTCATACCACATAACAAAAACCTAAAACTTCTAGATGTTAAATATTTTTTCAACCATAAAAACCCGTATTTCATGGATCAATTTGGAAATTTTAAAATAAAATTGTAAACACAAAAAAATGAAACAATGTGAACTAAATTCAAAGCCTAAAAAAAACTGCTTACTTTCTTATACAAATGGTTTCTCATTATAATGGTGATGAAAAAGTCATTCAGACCTTCGTCATTTATTGATTATATTCAGGGATTGAACACAAACAACTAAAACTAGCTTCTATTTTTTTGTAGAAATGTAAAACACTGATACATACTTGATACTTAAGTATGTCTACATTGAAGTAGGAAGCTGTAGGATTCTTTTCAGCCTGGCGTTTCAATAGAGCAGTTAAGGCACTCATGTTGAATTTGAATGTAGTCCAAGGGGGCAAAGTTTCTAGGCACGGTTCATCATAATCCCTGGAAAAAATGACATAAATAGGAAAAACATATTACATAAAATAAAACAAGTGTCAAATTTACTGTACTAACATTATAACAATCAAAACCTACAGACACACGCTCACGTAAATTAATACTAACTGATTCACTTATACATGTCTAGAAAAGGAAATATTTTTGTATCAACAAAATTCACTTTCCGATAAAAAATAAAAATACACATGTATATTTTCTACATTTTTAGTCCTGCAGAAATCAATGGTTAAGTTTCAAGTATAAAAAACAAGTTCTTGGCAAGTTTCTTGGGTTTCTAATTCACCATATGGCAAGTACCAGAAATAATACTCTCTTACCAAATAAATAGTCATCATTTTTCACTATTTTTTTACATGACAAATTCATTGAACTATACAGAACACTGCTGGTGCACTTTTTTAAAACACCCACACTTTTGGGTATGTACCCAGGCCTGGGGTAAATACCAATTAATCAATTCTCTATCCAATGGGTATTTTTACCCAGCCCACATGACTAATAAGAATACACAATATTGAATCTACTTACCAAATAATAAGTTGCTTGTTAGGGAACACTTTGGTCAATCTAGAAGAGTTGGTGAGCTTAAAAATGAGCTGGGCTGGGTTCGGATTATTGGTGAGCAAATTTACGATGCCGGCAGGAAAAGAGAGCATCATATCTCCTGACAACTTCACTTGGCACCTGAACAATAACAAGCAAACATATAACAAAACTTAAAAAGTCACCTTTATTGTTCAACAAAGGAAAAAGGAATAATATGCAAAATATAAAAGTAATTTTGACTTATTTTAGAGATTGTAAGCATAACTGTTACTCAATCACAGTTTGGTTACGTAGTATAGTAGAAGTAGGATTTTAGTTATTAGTGAAAGGACAGACATTAAAATATATTAGTATATTATTAGTGTAATTGACGAACTCTGTCCTTTAAGTGATAAGAAGAAGAACGCCACTCTAGACGCCGAGACGGATGACAGTACGAGTATAGACCCAAGTTAGTAAATACGTAACTACCTGTCTGGTCAATCTTAAATATTTAGTATTTCTTTAGTCGAGGTTGATATATATTATATTTAATTAATAGTCGTATTATTAAATCAATAACATGCTGAAAACTTTCTAACAAAATGCAAATTTACTGACCAATGCCATGCACTGTTGTGAAAGAAGGTATATTCGTTATGGTTCAGGTTGTTTCACCAGTGATTACGTTCAGCACAATAGAATAAGAAGAAAGGGGAGAGGAGGGATGACAAATCAAACCAACCACAGAGAGCTAAGATAGGAGGAAGAGAATGGTACTAATTTGTTTCTCGACTCTTTAAGAAAAACTTGAGCACAGTAGGAAATTTTGTAAATAAAAACTATAAATAGTACAACTGGTTTGATTTGAACAAAACAATAGTATAAAGAAGGAAAGGGTAAATCCAAACTATAATACATTGGTTTGTTTGCATTAGTATTTCATAGAGAGCAAGAAGCAAAGATAAATCAATAATTTCTGTCAGCTGGATTCTAAATTTTAAAATCCTGAGTGATTCATACAAGGTGATCAAAAGTGAAACAGATTGAATATGACAACTGAGTAGTATTGATACTTGTTTACTAAACTTGTTATATTTTAGGTACCTTTTTCCAGTGGATGGGATCAGATTCCAGATAAAAAAATCTAGAAAACTTGTTTTTTATATCGTGGTGGAGAATGTCAACAAAGAAAACTGATTGTATCAACCTAATTTAAAAGTAAACATAAGTCTTACTTCTTTTCGTCAGTGCCATGGAAGTAGGAGTGTATCATCTCGTGAAAGGCCACTGCCAGTGGTATAGTGTCAGACATGCCCAGTGTAAGAGGGGACGGCCCGCGGGACAGACCCACGGGCACTCCTGCTGCACGGAACTCTAGACTGCTCACACTGTCTGCACGCGCGATGTTGCTGGGGCCTGGGCTGCTCCTCAGTGCTGGACTGTTCCTACCTGCATTGTTGCGACTCAGTGTGCCACTCTGGAACAATGTTTATGCGATTGGTCTTTTGATAAGAAGATTATTTGTATACAAGGGAAAGGTAATATCCAGAATTCTTTCAAGATAACCAAGTGGCTGTTCAGGAGTGTTTTTGGATAGAGGTAGAGTTTACCTGAGAAAACTAAAGGTGCTAATAGATATACAACAACACATCACAAAACATTATACTGATATTTTTAGGCCTTGTTTAGAGTAGAATGAAGGGAAAAGTCAGTTGAAATTCAAAACTGGGTAGGCACCAGTTTCCACCCTATCAATAGATAACTTTGCATTGGTCTGAAGGAATCGCCTGTATTACTTTAGTGGTGTATCAAGAATCAAAATATAAACTGTGTAAAATATGACTGTGTAAAAATATATAACTGTGTAAAAATATAAACTCAAGGTTTAGTTAAAAGAGGCAGCCAACCTCTAGAAAAAAAGGAGTGTAAATGTCTTATTTCCCAAACTAACTGAACCGTTACAATTATTTAACTTGTGTCAAAGCAGTAACTTACAGAAGTAATGTCATCTCGACGGGATGGAGGCCTCGGAATGGCAATACCCGAGGTGGGGGTAGGAGTCTGTCTCTGTGTCCTCTCAACCCCTACACCTGCAGGCTGAATAACACCTACCTCTTGGAATAAATCTTGCAAATCTAGAAAACACAGAGTTAATTAATTACACTGATTATTGGCAATTACATTCTTCAGCTAATTTGCAAAATAAAGAATAAGGCATTTACCTCCCACCAAGATGTTTGATATAGCTCTACTGTTATAATGTTTGATTCTAGATAGAGTGTTTTGCTAGCCCGGTACTTAGTATCTTGAGATATCTTTGGGAGCTTCTCACTGATTGATAAATCTTTTGAGGGCATAGTTCACCTTTTTTTGGTTTACACTCACAACTCATCAGGTAAAATGACCGTTGACAAACACATAAATCGTCCAATATATTATAATGTGTGTCATAGTTTTTAACAAGTCCTCGATAAAGAAAAAAAAACTGAATAACGCCCAAAAAAATGTATCAATGATAAACTCTCCTAAAAGCATGTAATTCAATAACAGCTTCTCACTCAGTTCTGTGCAGGAGTGATAAGGTTCCTTACATGACCTTGAAAGATTTTACCTTTTTCCTAGAGATAGTTTTTTCTAGTTGCGAGACAAGTCAAAAGCCTCTAGGAAATTAACCCTCAAGATACATAGAAGCATACCTTATTGATGATAAAACTAAGGCCTACAATACACAAAGCAACTCTGATAATGTAATGTTTCACTCTTTATTATTGTATATAGCCCTTACAAAGCAAATGTTGTTATAAAAGTGAAGCTACATGTACATGAGTCAAGTTTCAAGCCATGAAACAGATCACAATCAAGCCTGGCTGAGTGGTCTGACGCTTTTTCACCCAGCTTTTGATACAGCACCGAAGACTTAGGGTTTGAATCCTCTTAGTCAGGTCTAGTGTGCAATCCAGGAGGACAGATCAGGTTGAAATTAATGAGATGGGTTAAGTCTTTCTGAAAAGCACCTCTGATCAGAAATTTTCTACTTTTTAATCTTTCGTACTGTCCCACTGTTTCAGATTTATAAGATAAGGGATGGACACACCGGTAATCGTTGGATCTCAAAGTTCTAAGTACTACCCACCTGAGTATCTACTGGTGGTAACAGGTGCAGGACTAGAGGCCGAAGTTAGCGTAGGACTCTGCAACGGAGCGTAGGGATGACTGGTGGTGGGGGTTGAGGCACTTGATCCTATTGGACTTTGGAACAGTGTCAGTCCTACCAGGTCATTGTTCAGCTTTCTATTAACAAAGACATATTTTCATTCAACTACAAACTTAAATATTTGTAAACACTAACTTGGAAACACATTGACCAAATAACATATATTTTGATAAGAAAGGATGAAGGATTAACATGCAATTTATTAAGCTGAGGGGGAGACAATGAGGTAGTTCAAGTAAAAGAATAATTAAGAATCTGATGTCCCCAAAGGTCAAAACACTATATGTTCAAATTTTTATATGTGTATATAATTAATACATACGAGGCACGTTTTTTTAAGTAAGTACCGTTTTGAAATAAAAAAAAATGTTCTATAATATTTCAATAATTGATATTTTTAGAGAACAAAACTTGAATAGTGTATTCTGTATTTAAAAATACAAACAGTAGTCATTAACTAAAATACACTTACAGTACAATGCATGAATTGTAATATATATACTACACATTTCAGATGCTATTTTTGCTAACAGTATCATGAGAATGGTGTGTAGTTCTTACCCTCTCCAGACTCACACCTAGGCACTAACAACAGCAATACAGCATGCTACCCAACAAGAAAATGTGTAACTTCACGCCCACCTTTAACTAGAGGCCGCGGCCTGGTAGTATAACTTCCATACACTCCTACCAAGCTGTGAAATGTTTATTAACTTCTGTTGAATTGCCCTCCGGATGGAGCAAAATGTTTATGAGGGTCTACTGTACCTACAAACTTCAATAATGTTGCACTTTTCAAGGTTCAACTCACCCCCCTCCAATTTGCTGCGACACAGACTGAGATCTCTTCATTGTGTGATCTTCAGCATTAGAACCTCGCCTTCCCTGAAACAAAAACATCATCTGCATTCTTCCCCTACACTCAAAAAATAACAACACCTTCCATAATTGTAAATGAGGAGTGTCATTAGAATTTTACCAAAGGGTAACTAGTTTACAGTCTGGTGGTAGCTATCTACATTATTTGTGACTCTGATGGAGGTAAATGCCCATTAATTACTAGGGGTACAAAATGGAAACAAAGATTGGCCATGCAATTGACAACATCCTAACTTTATGGAAAATTCAGAAAAAAGTTCAATAATTTCCAAGAACATATTGTACTTTTTCAGCTAGGTAAAAAAAAGAGTACAGAAAGTATGGTACTTACGTATTAAACGGAGGCCACCATTACGAAACGCGCCGCGGCACTTATAGAGGGTTAAATTGTTATAGATGTTGTAGTAGAACTATTCTAGTATTGTTGTGAGTCGAGCGTTATCAAATGAATCATGTGTCTACTCGCAGAATCCCCTCCAAGTAGGCCAAGGTCAGGGTCGTTGACCGGAGCGTGCGCCATTACCTGTCATCGCCTGTCACTGTGTCTGGTCAACAGCGCGCTGCAGCGGTTATGTTAGGTTGGGTTATCATAAATATATGTTTTTTTATCAAATTAAACTATCTTAACCTAACCTAACCAACCAAACTTGCTGATGGTGAAAAAATCGCATGTTAGGTGGCCTCCGTTTAATACGTAAGTACCGAAAGTATTATAAACTTGGATAAGCTAATTATTCTCAAAAACTCAAGTGAAATAAGGCACTGAGATTTCAAAAGGAACCGAAAAGTTCTCCTATATGTCCTCAGTCCATTTAAACTACTTCAAAATTATTTCTGATTAGAAATGGGCTATTGCCGGAAAATTAAGAAGACAATGGACAGGATAAGCAAGCTTACCATAAAAATTGTAGGCATCCCACTTCACTATAGTAACACAAAATAAAATACTGAATATTTCGAGACCACTGGCCCCTTTCTCAACATTAAGAGTCACATTAGATTCTGGAACTCTTTCACCTGATTCTAAAATCCACACATTAGATTCTGAAAGTCTTCCAGAATCTAATGTGACTCTCAATGTTGAGAAAGGGGCCAGTGGTCTCGAAATATTTAGTGTTTTCTTTGTGTTTTATTTTGTGTTACTTTAGTGAAGTGGGATGCCTAGAATTTGTAAGGCAAGCCTTACAAATATGCCTTAAGATATTTCCCGATAGCCTTTTTTTAAGTATTTGTCCACAATACGGTATTTGTCCATCACTTCCCTTAAATTCAAAGAAGGTTTATATGCAACATCTTACAATTTCCTGATGTAATTGTTCAAAATACAATTACAATAACTTACTTTAAAGAAGAAATGGGAATCAATCACAAAACTGATGGATAACAGTTTCTTTTGTGTGCATGTTTTAAAGAAATGGTTTCATTAAAACATTAAAACCAATTTCATGAAATCAGTTTCCAGAAACGGGTTTCTCCAGTTTGTACCCTGCCTTAATTTACACATGACCCTCAAAGTAACATATGAATTAGCATTTCCAAACTTACAGGAATAGTTCCAAGTGGGGAGAGGGAGATGTTTTCAACAGTGGCTCTAAGCTCGTCCACACTCGCACTGATGGGTCCTGTTCCATTGCCGAGAGGTTTTATCTCCACGTGAATCTTCTGTTCTCGTTCATCCTCTATAATCAAGTCTTTATTTTAGTCAGAGAATAACACCTTAAGAAACTTATACACAAATTCTCATCATAGCCCCAATATAAAAACTGTTTTTCAAAATAATGACAATTATAAACTTTTGCACATAATTGTATAAAACTATCTCATTTTGAAGTTGCAACTTTTATTTTTCTTATGTTTTCTGCTATTTTACCTACAAATTAATTTTTCAAAAAAGCGATCGAAAGAAGCGATGCTGTCAGCCTTGTAACCTCATCATTTAGAGCCGAAAACTAGTTGACATAGCAACCAATTTGGATGACCGATAAATGATAATACAGGTATATAAAACCACTTATAGTTTAAAATTCAAAATATTTACATAGCCTAGTCATAATTTTGAATCCTCAAATTGAAACTCATTATCTACTCCAAAAAGGGTATCTATAGAAGCACAAGTTAAAATCCAAAAAATTAAATAAAACAGTTTGAAAATACTAGTAAACATTATTTTGCAAATAACACAAGATGTCAGATGTTTGGGTAGGTATGCATAGGTTATACTATTACTGGAAGTATTTTCTGTTTATTTTGATGATTGAAAAATGACTTTGGATACTCTAAAAGAAGTATGGGTTGAACAAGTATGCCTTACCAGAATCTGTATCAGAGCTAGAGTAAAAGCTGCCTTTATCATGATCCCACGGGTCCAACTTGGGTCGAATACAGTAACCTTCATCATCAACTTCTGGTGTTGGAGTTTTAGACTTGTGAGTGTCCTCTTTCTCTTCCCTGAAAAATAAACAATAATGTACCCCTTGTATAACTTTTAACAACTAACTTATCTTAATTATTCATTAGCATTAAATGTGATGGTCCATTTTATATTGATGAAAAAAGACACTTCCAAAAGTTTACATAAATAACAGATTTTTGTAAATGTTTAGCTAATATCCCATATAGGGAATATTAGCGAGTTTCCCAAATAGGGAATAGCCTAAGCTATTAATTACCGTCACAGGTCTCATGGTAAGACCGAGACTCGAGACAGAGTTTTTTGTTTATTCGGTACAAATGGGTGTACCTACGTTTATTCAAACGAGTTCGTGAACCAGCATGATCAGACTATTGGGAACGGAGTTTTATGTTGTAAAAATTTGTGTTTTTTTTCATTTTCGAGTCTGAAAACTTTTTATGAGCTTAAAAAAAAAATATTTAGTATATTGAAGCATAGCTGTACACCTAATGGTTATGGAGGAAATTTTAACAAAATTGTAAATTAGAGTAAAAGTAAAGCACCTCTATTTTTGATATTAGGCGAACATAGCCTAAAATCTTAAACAATCAAACAGGACATATTTGGAACGTGGAGCCGAGCTTTCACTATTGCTATATTATTGCAACATAGAAAGCGTCTGCAAAGATAGCACAATAGGAAATTTACTATATAGCATTAGATCATGCGAGACTATCATGAAATCTGCATGATCGTGGTAGATGTTCACGATTTTGACACAATTCCATGAGATTATCACAATAGTGCCACTATTTCTGAAAATCTTGGCTAATATTAAGTTGTTAAATATCTCAATAGGATAATATTATGGGTTTTAGTCATTATCAAATTGTGATAAAAGCCTATTACACTACACCAAATGTACAAATGTACTAATGCTAATACTGTTTTTTCTGCTTGTAACCAAGCTATTAATGTTCTTAAATCCTACATAGTTAAATTTGTGGTTACATTGTTAAAAACCATCATATTATTTAAGTAAAATTGAAAACATAAACAATTGACTTTTTTTACACATTGCACGTTGCTAAGGTATAGTGTTCACGAAGAAGGAAAGTAGCCTATAATAAAATGTAAAATTCTTTGGTTACCACTATCTTAAGTAAATACTAGATTTGTTATATAAATAGGTTTAACAGCACAGATGGATATTTTCCTAAATCATTCCAAATTTGAGGTTAACAAATTTTCTCTAATTTTGAAATAGAACTAGATTTATCCCCCTTTATTAGCGAATTTCCCATATAATAATAAGCTATTACCGTAGTACTCATGGTAAGACCTGGACCTGGGACCGATTTGCTTTTTCGTTTTGAGGTCCCTAGGGGCCAAAAACACCAACCGTTCAAATTCATATATGTGTCCGTTAGCGCGATAACTCGAGCAAAAATGATCCGATTTTGATGAAATTTGGTATAAACGTGTAAACCTACATTTATTCGAACGAGTTCGCGAACCAGCATGATCGGGCTATGAGAACAGGGCTAATGGGGGGTTTTATGGGGTAAAAATAGATTTTTTCCCATTTTTGACCCTGAAAACACAAAATTTCACAATTTATTTCCAAACCATTTTGTAGAGCTTAAAAAAACAAATAATTTAGTATATTGAAGCGTTGTTGTGTGCCTAATGGTTATGGAGAAAATTTAAAAAAATTGTAAATTTAAAATTCCCATGTTATTCTTATGGATAATAAGTCAACTGTTGTAATTTGCTTGTTTATGAACATGTTTTGATTGAATTTGGAAAATACATTAACTTCTTACTAAACTATTAACATTTTACAACAAAAAACACTTTTTACGAGCCTGTTGCAGCAAACCTAAGTACTCGTTAAAATAATTATATTTAAATAGGGAATAAATGTGATATTTTTAAGGAGGCATCTTAGTGTAAATCCAATCAGGCAAATTGAAATTCGCTTAGTCTGCAGGTTTGCTGCGGTGGGGGTATTCTGTATTCTTTCAAGATTTGAGTTTAGTGTGTCAAATATATTTTTCAAAGCACTTTCATGCTAATGTGCTTTAAGTTAGTTTATTTCTATACTAGGTTTAAGATCATACTAAAGAAAAAATATATAAAAATATGCCTTTTGAAAACGATAATATGAGGTAATATTTATTTCAAAACCAGTTTCTTGTTTTATTATCGTATGAACTTTTAAATAATATTTTACTTTACACTATCTATCAACTCAAGTTTGGCTTGCACACCTCTACTTTGTTATTCAATAAAGTTATGACTATAATAACTTAATAACGTAATTTAATAAAATTATATCAAGTTAAAATACAATTTCAAAGGCTATCTATAATGATGTTGTTTTTATGTCAAACTCTATGGAAGACTTTGCATCAATAATTATAATTCATCAGGAAGTCAATGTCATAGAATCTTTATTATAATTTCATTTAAAAATACGTGTCATTCATGAGCTATATACAAATTGACAAAAATAGGCTAATCGCACATAAATACTAACCTAAACTTTCTCAAGAAACTCATGTTGTAATTCTGATTCAACTGTCCGCTGCATGACTGAGTCACTTATCAGCTGACTAATGTTAAATGCCTAGCTCGACATAATCACAAACACTACTGCAGCTTGACTCACAAATATTTGGTCAAGTAACCTGACGCAACATTGTCTAGAATCAACTTCTTTTTACAAGAAAAACTATTATTTTAAATTTTTAATATTAAAAAGGAACTTATGTTTCCAGGAGGACGAACTTTTTATTTAGAACAAAAAACTCCATATTTGTCATAAAAAAATAATAATACTATTTATAGAGGTATATTTATTTATTTAATTTCATTGTAAAAAGTAACTTAATTGGCAAAGTAAGAGGTGTACACTCTGACTTCCAGTTTCAAAGGGTAAGGGGAACTTTTCCAAAAAAGGTGCTTATCAATAGTTATTTGTGCAGCTAGTGAGCAAAGTTAGCAATTGCCCCACTCGAGAGAAATCCTTACTCACGAGCCGTAGGCGAGTGAGGTATCATTTCTCGAGTGAGGCGATTGCACTTTGCACTCAAGTTGCACATTATATTTTTCCTACAGTTACCATAAAACAAATAAATTGGTAAAGAAACTTGCCTTCACGTTGCAAATCTGGAGTGAGACAAAGTAATTAGAGGGAGACAATGTTAACATTGTTTCACTGATGAGCGAAGCACTTTGCTCTCAAATCAGTGAGAGAACATGTATGTACAAAAACATTAAACACTGATACAACAGTCACAATGTTGTAACAGATACAGTTGTAACAATGTTGTTAGGTAACTGTAGGAAAAGTAAGTAAATTTGAATTAACAAAATAATATGTCTCTTTATATATAACAATTAATTGAAGATAATTAACAATAGATGCATCAAGGTTTTTAAATAGTGCTAAAACTATACAAATAACTAATCATGCTATCTCATTTTAATCAGCATAAAAGGTAATAACTTTATATTAATTCACTTTATGCTCATATACTGTATAATCTCCAACATAATCAGGGCTCTAAACCAAATGAGTAGAGTAATCATAACAACTGATTTGATGACTCATTAAAATATGATAAGAAATTTGTGGTTGCTTATGGTGAGTTTATGGTACTTAAGAAATTATTTGGACATTTCCCATCATAGTTACTGAAAAAGGTGTTGATAATGTTTCGAGATCTGAATACTAAACTTAATTCTAAGCTAAGATGGTAACTAAAGCATAAGAAACTTCCCATGCAATCCATCTGTACCTGGAAGAATCACACCAAAATAATCATGCATATATTTTGAAACATAAAAAATAACTAGGCCTACAAATAAGAATAATTATTAACAAAAACTACTGAAGATTTTAATTTAAAAGAAACAATATTTGACTGTATAATAGGCCTGTTCCAATAAAACTGAGATCCCAAAGAAATATTGCAGTAGTTTGTGTTAGTTTTGTGAAGTTTAGTGCAGTAATTTTCATTAGTATTAGTAGAAGTACCTAATTTGGCTACTAAAGTAGAACCTCTACTAACCGTCACCCTCGGGACCGGTAGCATGATTGTTAAACAAATAGCCGGATAATAGAAATTCTATTATAAACCTGTAGGCCTACAATAAGTTTATTTAAATGGTTTTGGAAGAAATTTAACCCTATACAAGTGAATAATACATATTTGTTTAAATTACTTATATACAAGAGTAATACAGAACTTTCCATTCTGTATGTTGTACTTGTTCAATGTTTGTACTTGTACAGTGAAATAAAATAATCTAAGTAATGTAGCGGGGTGACGGATAACAGAGAGTGACATGTTTGTATATATTTATTATGTGTAAACAATTTATAATGCATGATTTGTACTGACATGTCACATATTAATTGCCGATATTCAGCCTCTGTATTGTAAATTTTTGTGATTAATAAATTGAATTGAATTGAATTGACGGTTAAAAGGGTGACAGTTAATTGAGGTTCTACTGTACATAATAATTTTTATGGTTCTTTGCTATGTTTTTGCTGGATTCTGTACAACATTGAACATTGTTATTTTTTTTAGTGCTACGGTGCTATCTCATCTAAGGATGGGATCAGTTTCCAGATCCCAAAATTTGGAGAAAACTTATTTATTAATTGTTGGCCAATTCACAATAATTAATTTTATTACATTGCATTAATAGTTCTTAACAGTAAAATGTTAATAACTTATCTATAGCAAATGTTACCATCAATTATTATTGATGATAAATAAAAATTTGGTTCAATATTGACTTACACATCTGACTTTTCATCTTTACAGCTCGTACTGTCTTGACTCCCATCTTTCTTCTTCTTAGCTTTCTTTTCCTTGCGCTTATCTCTCCTACTCCTTAAAAACCCTAAAAATATGGATAAAACAGACTAAAATTAATATTAGTGACAGCAAAAGCTATACTGAGAATTATTTAATTATTGCTAAAAACTGTGAAAGCCTGAAAACAATCATACATAATAGGTTAAAATTTAAGTTACTAAATATTTTTTTCTAACTGTAGAAAATATTTTCCAGTTATTATCAATAAATATTGTTTATGAAAATAGCTTTAAAATAATAACTATAGTAAAATATATGAAAGATAATCATGTAAACTTAATCAAAATAGACTACAAAATTATTCTACTTTCAGTCGACAGTGGATGTAAATAAACTATGAATTGTGTATTGTGTTTCAGTTTGAAACAATCATTAACTTAATAATAAAAAAAATCAAATCAATCTTAAAATCCCATTGCCTTCAAATTGACAATATTATTCCTCATTTCCCTTCTTTAGATCTTTAGAGCATTTTAACTAAGTTTAATGCTGGTACTTGTCAAAGGGTATTTCCATACACAATAAAAGAAAATGGGTTTGAAATCTGATATATTTAGAGAAAAAAACTGTTTTGGCTGGGGAGGAAAAAATTAAAACATAAGAAAAAGTACATTCTTAAGGACATGAAAAAGTTTTAATTTGATTTTAACATAATTTTAATTAGGCTGGTTTTAAGTAGGGTGTTTTTCAAAGAATGCCAGGATTTTAAATGGTAATTGCTTGGATACTATTCAAGGTAACTAAACATTTTATACGTCAAATTGAAACTAAAATAACTACGTTTTGTCTCCCATGTAGCAAGGGAGGAATCTTTGACCTTGGCATGCATAAAACAGGTGCGGGGCGATAGGCCGCTATTGTGAGTCATACGCTTGATGCCAGTTGCCAGTACGTTTACGGCGCAACAGAAGGCAAAGATTGTAAACTGTAGTTCACAGAGTTAAGTGTTTTGAAAAGACATTCACCTGGCCAGCTAAAAACAAGCGATGACATAGTCGAAGAAATCCGACAATTCTGCATCAGAAGCCCGAAAAAATCGATTGCCCAACAAAGTCTTCAGTTTAACAAACCTAAATTGGTCACTTCATGATGTTATCTATAAAAGATAGAGCCTTTGTGCCGAAAAAGATTCATTAAGACATCAGATAAACCCGCCGATCGCCCTAAGCGTACAGACTTTGCCAGTTTTATGCTCATATAAGATTGATGAAAATCACCATTTTATTAAATAATTTTGAATCGTATGAAAGAATGAGAAAAAAAACTTTATTCTTTTCCCTTCAACTTGACGTTTAAATCGTTTAATTATCATGAATAATCCCCGAGCAACGACCGTTTGAAATCCCGGCAGTCTTTTAAAAACACCCTGTATTTTTTGAAATCCCGGCAGTCTTTTAAAAACACCCTGTATTTAAACTATAGTTTAGGTTATTCTACCTTTTAATTTAAAAAATGTAAAGTTTGAAAAACAATAAAAAAATTAATTACTTCTTGGCATAGGATTCCATAAATTATTTGACAGTTAATTTTAATTTATACCTAGGGATGTTATACTTTTAGGTATTTTTTAGGTTTTAAGAAAATTCTTGTAGTTTTAGCATCTTTCAGTTGGCCCTAAATAAAGTTCTAAAACAGAACAGAAAGAAGACCTAATAATAGAGCGACTAATTCTATAGCTGCATTTGATGAGGCATGCAGAAAGCTGAGTGGAGTGCTGAGCTGCAGTTGATATTATATGCCTTAGTTTTAAAAACTAAAGTGCAAAAACTCTGCTGAAATCAAGTCTAACTGAAATTACTAACTAAAAATTGATAAATCTTAAATACTTCTCTTAGTAAATAGGGGAAGCACAATAAGACACAACAAAAAACTTTGTAAATTGTGAACAAAAACAGCACTCTTAAAGTTGCATAAGTATCTTAAAGATATATAGTTACCAGTATTGAAATTATTTATGTGTTTGATTCATTTAATTGTTTTTAAATGTTTTACTGATGTTATATCTCCTGATAAAGTAAAATGAGAATGATTTACACATCACAAACAGTTTTTCCATGACAAATTATATTATCTAAAATCATTAAATAATTTACTCACAGTTGATATTTTTATAAAGGACAAACATGTGCACATTAAATATTTGATTCATATATATATATTTAAATAAAGACTGAAATTTCTTCATGTCTATTTACGTTTTATTAACCCTTTAGGAGTTATTTTTCCAAAATTATTTATCTTTATTCTTTTAGGAGCATAAATACAAAAACGACAACAAACAAAGAAGGAAGTAATTGTTTACAATTATGGACGCTAAACAATGGACTTAAAACAAAGTACTTTACTGACGTGCTACAGAATAAAAATAAGCATAAAACCAGACGGAAACTAAATCTAACAACAGTTTTAAAATCTTTAAAGGTCAGTCAAATTTTATCCTGCTCTTACAATTAGAATGTGAAAATGTAGAGATTAAATTGATTTGTAATGAGAAGGAGTTATAGTTGTAGAATGTAGATAAGTTAATATGGATATGGATCCAAAGGTTGGGTCTATGTCTTAAGCTGGTTGTTGATCACAAATGCGGCAACTAGTGCCTTATTATTTATCTTTCTAAAGTCATCAAATATTACTTAAAAACATCTGAGGAAAGAATTAAAGTAGTTTTTTATTTTGTTACTTAGTATTCTTTTTTAGTGGTATTATTTTCTGTTAACTAGGCCTATCTGATATTTTTATAATTTCAAGGTTTGAGTTACTTTTTATAAATTTCATTCAATGCGGTTCTTCAACATTGCACATTGACACCTCAAAATTAATTATTAGCTGATGGACTAACCTTTTAAAAATAAATGGTATGGCCATTAGTAGCGATTTTAAAATATAAAACGTAATATTGTAAAGACAGAACATTGTTGTCAACACGTCTAATTTATTGCTTTCAGAGTTGTTTAATACACTTTATTGTAATCATCCTAACAACACGTCTAATTTAGTATTGTTTAATATAATGTATTGTAATCATCCTAACAACACATCTAATTTATTACTTTCAGAGTTGTTTAATACACTTTATTGTAATCATCCTAACAACACGTCTAATTTATTACTTTCAGTATTGTTTAATATAATGTATTGTAATCATCCTAACAACACATCTAATTTATTACTTTCAGAGTTGTTTAATACACTTTATTGTAATCATCCTAACAACACGTCTAATTTATTACTTTCAGTATTGTTTAATATAATGTATTGTAATCATCCTAACAACACATCTAATTTATTACTTTTAGAGCTGTTTAATATAAATTATTGTAATCATCCTAACAACACGTGTTATTTATTACTTTCAGAGTTGCTTACTACAATTTATTGTAATCATCCTAATAACATGTCTAGTTTATTACTTTTAGAGTTGTTTCATATAAATTATTGTAACCATTCTAACAACACGTGTAATTTATTACTTTCAGTATTGTTTAATATAATGTATTGTAATCATCCTAACAACACATCTAATTTATTACTTTCAGAGTTGTTTAATACAATGTATTGTAATCATCCTAACAACTCATCTAATTTATTACTTTCAGAGCTGTTTAATATAAATTATTGTAATCATCCTAACAACTCATCTAATTTATTACTTTCAGAGTGGTTTAATGTAAATTTATTGTAATCATCCTAACAACACGTCTAATTTACTACTTTCAGAGCTGTTTAATATAATGTATTGTAATCATCCTAACAACACGTCTAATTTATTACTTTCAGAGTTGCGTAATATAATTTATTGTAATCATAATAACAACACGTCTAATTTATTACTTTCAGAGTTGTTTAATATAAATTTATTGTAATCATCCTAACAACACGTCTAATTTATTGCTTTCAGAGCTGTTTAATACAATTTATTGTAATCATCCTAATAACATCTCTAGTTTATTACTTTCAGAGTTGTTTAATGTAAATTTATTGTAATCATCCTAACAACACGTCTAATTTACTACTTTCAGAGCTGTTTAATATAATGTATTGTAATCATCCTAACAACATGTATAATTTATTACTTTCAGAGTTGTTTAATGTAAATTTATTGTAATCATCCTAACAACACGTCTAATTTACTACTTTCAGAGCTGTTTAATATAATGTATTGTAATCATCCTAACAAAACGTCTAACTTATTACTTTTATAGTTGTTTAATATAATTTATTGTAATCATAATAATAACACGTCTAATTTATTACTTTCAGAGTTGTGTAATATAATTTATTGTAATCATCCTAACACCTAAGTTAGAATTAAAGTGAAAAACAGCTATTTCAAATCTTTCATAAAGTTCACCCTAGAAATATTTTTTTCAGATTAAATCAAAACTTAAACATTTTAGGCAAAATATTGGACATAAATTGACTATATTTGAGGAAACACAATCGATAAATCAAACTATAGAAGTGATGTGTAAAAGGATGAATCAGAAACGGCAAAACTAATAGTAACTACAAAACATGAATGTGTGCTCTCGTTCTACGCAGTGTTGTTGGGTTTTAAACCTGTCGTCCAGGCGGTGATGCTAGAATAATACATGGTAGGTGAAGATGATATAGAATCCCTCGACTCGGGCCCTGTCAACATACTCCAGTCAGTCAACATATCACTGAAACACACTTGGCAAACTACAATATCACACTAAACATAGGCGTTAGGGCCTTCTTTCCTTCATACGCTTGCATTTTGTGGTTGTCACGGCTTGAATACACTTGAATTCCTAACAGAGAATTTATTTAAAAATTGATTTTTAAAACTTTATTAAGATGGTAAATATTAAATTTGTGAAACAATAAAGCCTTACATTTTGTCTTTACATTTCAACAGAAATCTTTCACAAGAAAATCAGGATTGTCGTAATGTTTTGCCAAAGTTGTAACTGGAAGTTATAATGTTATCACTAATGATTTTGGACGAACTTGGTGAGTTTATAAACTGACAAGTGCCCTAGAAGTTGTTTCATTAATACACCATAAACATAAGCGGATAGATTAGTCTTCTAATCTAAGTTTTTTTATTACTTAGAAAGTAATATGTTTGGCACTCTACTTAGAATTCAGAAAATTTTAAAGACAGGCAAACCAAAAAAAGGTGGGGGATTTGTAATTTATTTTGATGTTCATAATACTGTACATGCACCACCTTGAGCATGAGATTCACGCTTTACTATGTCCACGAAGACATTAGAAATGTGTATGCCAGAACGATTTTTAACGTAAAATTTTATGGAATTGGTCATATTTTAAAATATTTTGAACAACTAAGTTACACAACACACTTTACGAACAACTCTGCTTATCAAAATAGGATTTTCCCAAATATTGGTGTGAATGGAAAGAAGCCCCCTACATTCTTAAACATAAAAACAATCCCGCCATATGGAAAGAGGAGTGGAAATAAAACAGGAAATTAGGATGATTATAATGTCCAGGTAGTTCACTTTTGGAGATATGAAACTGAGAAGAAATTGGTAAGAAACACTTAAGTAAATACTATGTAAGACTGTTTAGACGTTTGTCTGCGCATTACTATGAGAACTTGTTTAATTTCAGGATTGCTGGATTAAATACACTATATGATACCTTGAGTCCTAATTCAGTGTCATAATAAAAATAAAAGAAGAAAGAAGAGTTTAAATGACCCAAAGAAATGCAAGTTCTGTGAAAATATAACAGTTTTACAAACCTGACAAAAGCAACTGGAATTGGCAACAATTTAAATTTCATTTCAAGCCACTAACAATTCACTTAGTGTACACATATTTGCTGTGACAGGGGTATTAAACTTCTGATTCTGATTTTAAATGATCCTATCACCCATTACTGTGCTTATTTTTTATGTGCAAACCATATTGTGAATTTTTCATGTTCATGATACTTGATAACAACATTGATTTATTTGGGAGTTTAAAAAGCTACAAAACTCACTGTATTAAAAAATTCCCTTGTAGAATATTAGACAATGTAATTGGGGAAAAAATCTGCTTGCGAACTCTACAGATCACCGAGTTGAACTTACAAACGGTAAAAGAAATTAAAAATATATTTCACATTGCTTTCAAGCTACAATTGAACAAATAACGAATTTACAACCGTAGTTTTATACAAGAATTATTAGTACCAAAGTGTGACTGTACATTAAATACATAGTGGCTAATCTAGTCACAGAAAACATACTACTATATAACCCAGAATGCCAAACCGCATGGTAAAAAGCATTAAGTGTTTTGAGAGAGCTTTGCCTGTCAATTGGTAGGCAGCGCCACCAGCGTTGCCATGCACTCAGCATAGCAACGCTGGTGGCGCTGCCTACCAATTGACAGGCAAAGCTCTCTCAAAACACTTAATGCTTTTTACCATGCGGTTGGCATTTTGAGTTATAGTAGTATGTTTTCTGTGATCTAGTTAAGTTGAATCTTTAGATATACAAAAATATTTTATTTTTACAAGATCAGGACTATGTTTAATCTTTATACAGATTTTTTATGTTTATGCAGATTTCTTCATAGATCTAAATGTTGCTAGATTTTCTAAAAAAACTTGTTCGTAGTATTTACAGTATATGACTACAATAGGAGTTTCATTATATAAAATTTAGTTTTAATGGTAATGAATTATGAAGCTTGTGTTTATAAAGTGTTAACTATTTTTGTGGTTAAGCTCGGAATTGATTATAAACATGCAGTTCAAAACAATTAAATCTTAAATTATAACCAGCAAATAGCACATGCAGAAAAAATTAGTACACAACCCACATGCAGATGCACAGAACACCATAGTATTAAAAAAAAACACCTACAAACAATGAAATATTCTTCAACTATAAAAAATTTAATCTTAGTATCAGTAAAAACTTTATGTCTTGAAAAAAATATTTTTTCAACTAGGCATATCTTTTTAAATATATCAGTTTTAAAATCTTTTAGGGAGGAATCCTAATAAGATAAAAAAAGTTTTGCAATGAGAAATGCTCTAAACTTGGTTCAATTTTATTTTAAAAATTGATTATTTGCAAAATTGTTATAATAAATAGGCTATAATGGATTTTTCTTATTTCATCGTTTATCATTAATTTTAAAAATGGTCCATTTAAAACTATGGGTAATTTTAGATGATTATAGTTAAAAAATTTACTGAAATAAAAAAACAACTTAAAGTCTCACCCCCTCCCCCTTATTAAAAACAATTGGTGTGATATACAAAATAGAAAGTGGATAAACATTGAAACATAAAAAAAATTCCACAAAGCAACATAAAAACATAAAATAATGTGATACATTACTCTTTTTATAAAGTAATGAAACAAAAAATGGTTCTGCTATTGAACCTAGATTTTTACATACAAGTGCATGTGACAAAATATGTAAATGTGTCTGAAAAGGTAACACTGCCAAACAACAATTAGATATGTATAATGTGCTTACATCAATAATATAAACATGAATATGGACAAATGGTTAAACTTGGACTTTTCCTTTAAAGTCTACTAAGGTAGAAAATAAGATAGCATAGTAAAGAAACATTTCTGATTAAATCTATCTTTTTTAGTTAGGGTCTGTGCCAGTGGCATTTTGTATGAAAGTAACTCTTTTAGGAAAGCGTTCTAAACCCCTCAATTTCCCCCTTTTTGTTTGAGGAATTTGGCTTAAGCCAGAAATCAAATTTGTTCTCCCACACTGAAGTCTGGTACAGTAATTACTAGGCTAGCAACACACTCAAAATCTTATGGTGAAGCTTCACTTAAAAATCTTTAAAAGGCTGTTAAAACAGGTGGTATTATCATGGATACGGAAAAAATAGTTCAAATGTCATCTTAGTTCACCAGTTTTTACAAGAAATACTTGATAAACTTTAAAATTAGGATACTTTCAAAGATCAATGTTGAAAATCTAAAAATAAATTTGCTGTGTCCATGCCAGTGGAATTTTTGTTGAAATAATTACAAACAATTTGAAAGAAACAAATTGGTATAAACCCGTCAAATTTTTGTCCAGGTATACCAGCGATCAAACCCGTCAATCCCGCACTGAAGTGCAAGATGCAAACCTCTAAGCTACACATTCAGTATATTAACCATTTGTCCACGTACAGAAAAGAAAATGTATGCAGAGATATTAATTACATTTTGATCCTCGCAGGGGGTTTCTGGCAAGTAAGTTGGTAGAGATGGCAGATGGGGGACCGTTGGCAGAGGTAGTGGGGCTAGTGGGGGCTGAAGTTGGTGCCCCCCCGCCGTCTTTGGTCCCCACCCCTCCGCTGCCTGCAACAAGCACACTGCACTCACGCACCACAACACAATCCATACCTTCCCTACACATACATCCCACTGTTTGGACACTTTTAAAAGGTGTATAATCTAGTGTAAGTAAAAATTAGAGTATGGCTACTAGTAGAAGTAGAGGGAGATCTTCAATAACGGACACAGTTCTTCTCAGGATTTGATTTGACACAGCTTAAGGTGGGTTCTGAACCATAAATTTTAGCATTATCACAGTGAAATTTCAATTATTTTTTGTTTTGTTTCAAATACATCTTAGCTGCCATTTTTTTCCCTAGGACGCTAGGCACGAGCCCGGGATTGTTTTTCACATTACTTCAGGCCAGACCTAGGGGTTACGGCAATATCACTTAGATAAAATCCATTGGTGATTTGGCAGGATTTGAACCCGGTACCTCAGGAACCGAAGTGCCATGCTCTAACCACTACACCAGCTCGCTCCCCATCACTATAGAGTGCAGACAGTGGTCTTAAACCAGTAAAGACCTTTTTGTCTGAGAATGATTATTCAAGGAATTAGGACAATAATTCAATTAAGAACAAGTAATCTCCATCAGATAATTTTGTGTCTAACTCTTTGTCCATCCCAAACATTATTTTGTAGGCCTAACTTTTTAACGTCCAAAAAATTAATGTGTCACTTCATAAGTTTTGACAAATTTTGAAGTCTTTTAATTACATAGAAGTAAATAAATCACTCAAATTGGTGACCAATATCAAACAGGAGGATGTATGTGCTAGGGAAATTATTAATGACAACAGTAGGAATGTTACCATATATATTAATGTGTGAATACCAATATTTGCTGTTTGGTAGGGTGGAAGAGAACTGTAAAAAAAATAAAAACTGAAAATTTAAATTAGGTGTTAGAGAGTAATTTACAAAAGATTGCAAACAATTTAAAAGACTTTCTGATTTGGGATATTAAAAATTAAGAAACATTAACCGAATATTAAGTATGCATCAAACCACCATCTACTGAAACACATTTAAAAAAATAATCGTATTCAACCCTTGACAAGGTGGTAGTACCATTTTGGTTGGCTTTCAACAAAATACTAAAAAAAAAACTGTCCAAGCCAGTACATTACTCTTGCAAATCCAGGACTTAAAAAAAATGCCAGGGTACCGAAAATTCTGAACTGCTGAGTATCATCTTAATGAGCTGTTACTGCAAGGATAACGAAAGTCCTGTTAAAATAAAGAGTTACAGCTATTAATGGGTGTCACGTCATTTTTATTAGTCTAGTCTACCTTAGCCAACTGCCCGAAAACACTGTCGAACGTGTCTTGTTGTCAACAAATGCTCCCGGGTCATTGGACACGGTTTTAACGAAGTTTTACTTTATACCTTGGTTGTACATAACATAAGCTGTATCCTATGTGGGGAAACTTAAACTAATCTCATCTGCTTGTGCAATAGCACTAGGGTTGTAAAGCAGTGAGACCACCAACCATCGGGTCTGATTGGTAGCCGAGCAGTCCCCGAGTGGTTTTTTTAACTGGGTGCAGGACGGATTGTTTTTCGCATTAGGCAAGGCCTAGAAATGTTGGCATTATCACTTAAATTAAATAATTGGTGATCAGCGGGATTTTGACCCAGGACCAGGGGAATCTAAGTCCCACGCTTTAAAAATAACTCAGCTCGCTCCTGAGTGGTTATAGATGAAAATTTATTTTTAATTTATTCAAAAATAATTAGCCTAACACATATTGTTTCAAATCCCAAATCATGTCTGCTTTGGTGTATAAATTAGTTTAACCACTCTATTAGAGATATTGTACTCATCCCACAACTTTAGGAACTGGATGAAATTCAACTTAACTGTAGCTTGTAATCAACCACCCATACCAAAACACACATAAAACTCCAAAGCTATTGGGTTAGTATCCAACCTTGATGAATTTTATATGTAAATAATAAAATCCAAGTAGCACACCTGGTAATATATATGCAAGTATACAGTTCAAGGAGTAGATGAGAATACATTCAAGGAAAAACTGTATAAACCACGATTATAAGAGACAAATATAAAAAAATATTAATTCTTTCATTGTTCCGTATAATTTTGGGAAGTCCATAACATCTTTGTTAAATATTTTGGAATAGGTAATTCAGATCATAAAAATATTTAAAAAATTCCTAGGATAAATGGTAACAATGTTTTTAATTCACATTGAAATTTTAATTTAATTGAATGGTGGTTTTCTGGGAGAATATTCATTGACAATTTTACTTTTCAGTGTAAATTTTGTTTTGAGTCAAAGTGATGCACTATTATATTAAGCTTTAACTTTTGAAACCGATGATGAGTTCTTTGCAAAGGGTTCAATTTAACAGTAATAACATAAATAATAAATTTCATTAACTCCTCTGAAAAAAGTACTTTAATCCATAGTATGGGTATTATATATAAATTTAAAGATTTATTACACACTGGTAAAATATTTTGAGAAAAAAAATTCTTATTAAAAATGCACATATCTTTGTGTGTTTAAGATTCTCATAAATTTATTTTGTACTGATACACTTAACTAGATAGTTTATTTTGGTAAAAATTAAGATGATTAATAGATGTAGGCCTACTGTAATATTATCTGGATTAGCATAGATGCTATTATTCTTCAAAACACACTGTTATACAAAAATGTTAAATATCCTACAAGTATTAGATAGTCAACAATAAAAAATGCAACAAAACATAAACAAAGTGCAAACACTAAGCAGTTAATATACTCAGGTTCAAAATCTAAAAACAAACAAATGATGATGGTTAACAATATGCATTATAAAAATTAATAATGTTGTAGAAATTATTTGCTTTAGAATTATAAATGTTTGTGCATATTCATGTGTTATGTTTAGTAATATTACCTAAAAATGATATCAAGATTAATTATATGGATCCAGAAGTCTCTAACAGATACATTTTGTTACCAACCTATTGTATCGGTTCAGATTCTTCTTTTCGGGAGATATAAAAACCTAGAAGAAACTATAAAAACAACTTTGAACACAGTAATAAAAGATGTAACAAAAACAAAACAGCACAAATCCATGCAAATTACAACATGACTTACCAAAGGAAAAATGTTGGGGGATCTAAAACAAGAAAAAAGAACAACAAAACAAATACAAAGACAGATTTTAAAGGAGTTAAGAGAGTTGTAAAAAATAAGACAATTTTCCAAAAAAATATCAAAAAATACTTTAAGGTACAAAAAGCAGAAAGATAAGTGTTCTAAAAATTTCTTGGGATATTCTTAACAATCGTTAACAACCGTCAATTATGTGAGGATGTAACGCAAGACTTATGAAAGATTTGTTCAAACATTCAAATGATGGAGAACTACAGGGACATTGGAAAACACACATTACATATTAGGAATGTGCTTCAACATTCCTGAGGGACCCCATAGATCAAGGGAAATATTGCTTTCGTTCATCCACATATTTTGATAAAGAATTATCACAACGGCGCCTAAGCTACAATTGATAATAGTTACATTACAGGTGATACGATCATTCTAATACTTAAACCCTAAGTTAAAAAACATACGTTGATTCACATTTTATTAAACTTTTATGTGAGGAGAAAAATTCATCAAAACTAATCTTTAAAACAAATACGTTATTTCTGTTTGACCGATCCTAATAAATAGAAAACCAAGAGGTCAGTTCCCAGTATTTTAAAGTTTTCCTTTATACTGTTTTGTATATATACAGACAACATAATACATAACCATTTATATACAATAAAAAAAAGAGTACAAATATCACGGGCATATACATAGAAGCAAAAGACTTTCAACGTTAACCCATTGCCCAAGAGTTTTCATGCCAAAATATACAAAGTGTATCAAGGAACTGAATGCATGTTTGAGCATCACGTTTTGATTAGTGTTTATTAAACTCACATTATACCCTTACCATCTTCAAAATCAGGAGACTGCAATATTGAAATGTATTTTATAAATTGATAACTCATAGTTCATTTGCTATCGACAAAGAAAGTACGTCCTTTTTCAATTTATCTTCTTTAATTCACATTATATCATCAGTTCTTCTACGAGCAAGGTGAAAGATATGGACATATTTTGACCAGGAAGTTTTGTGGTCAATGAAACAGAGCTCCGTTCCTTCATTTTACCTTTTGCGTTTACTAGAATCATGAATTCATTATAAATCATATTGTTTGTCAGTTATTGGTTTTGATTCTTCTCTACCAGTATTAAAAATTTCCTTTTGGTACTGTGATGTTAAAATAAGACATTTTAAAAGAATTTTCTTGTAGCCTATATAAATCTCTTAACCATCCCAGTTCACTGGCATTGAATCTTAATATGATTATGTGCTTTGAACCTAAATAATTGTTGGCAATTATATTTAATATGGCCCTGAATAACAAGGTGTAACAGAAAATCAACAATTGAACGATTCCTCAAAATTTGAAAGCGGTACAATAAGTATTAAAGAATTTGATCATACACCGGGATAATTTGAACATTTTACATGAACTAAAGTCAGTTCGGTTGGTGTCACCTACCAAACATAACAAAAGTTGGAAGATCAAAGCAAATCTGAACTTAAACGAAGCGGAAATCTAAAAAACAAAATACACGTATCATAATGCTCCTACACCAAAATAAACTGCAAAATTGGAATAATAGATAGGGAAAAAACGACAAAGAATCGAAGGGGTAAATAATAAAAGAGATAAACAGGATGAACGTACCGTGGGAGTTGGACATGAAGAGGTTGAGGAGGGAGGTGGTCCGGCGGGACTGTTTACCTCCAGACCACTGACTTGCATTACCTTCTCGCTTGACTCCAGGGGCCGTGGAGGGCTTAGCCTCTTCTACCCCAGCAGCCGCTACACTCACCGGAACCTCTTCAAACTCAATACAACCTGTACACAGAAAAACACAGTCACCACAGATACACAACAAAACTACACAAAGAGAAGGAGCTGTGGAGGGCTTAGTCTCTTTTACCCCAGCAGCCGCTACACTCACTGGCACCTCTTTAACCTCAATACAACCTGTACACAGAAAAACAGTCACCACAGATACACAACAAAACTACACAAAGAGAAGCAGCTGTGGAGGGCTTAGTCTCTTCTACCCCAGCAGCCGCTACACTCACCGGCACCTCTTCAAACTCAATACAACCTGTACAAAGAAAAACAGTCACCACAGATACACAACAAAACTACACAAAGAGAAGCAGCTGTGGAGGGATTAGTCTCTTCTACCCCAGCAGCCGCTACACTCACTGGCACCTCTTCAAACTCAATACAACCTGTACAAAGAAAAACAGTCACCACAGATACACAACAAAACTACACAAAGAGAAGCAGCTGTGGAGGGCTTAGTCTCTTCTACCCCAGCAGCCGCTACACTCACCGGCACCTCTTCAAACTCAATACAACCTGTACAAAGAAAAACAGTCACCACAGATACACAACAAAACTACACAAAGAGAAGGAGCTGTGGAGGGCTTCGTCTCTTCTACCCCAGCAGCCGCTACACTCACCAGCACCTCTTTTAACCTCAATAAAACCTGTACACAGAGAAACAGCCTCATATTTTTTCTCTACACTGTCACTATCTTTGAGATGGGGGTTTGTCTAAGTGGTCGAGGGGTCAAAGAATCCAAGTTAGGTTAGATTAGGTGCTCAATCTATCAGGTCAAGGTCACTGCACATCCTCACCATGATCTTCTGTATACAACATACAAAACTGTCAGGGTGCAACCAAGAAAGGTGTGTAAGTCTTCAGCAGAATTTAGATGGGTACAGACATAGAGTAAAACCCCTCATATCCAACCATAACGGGACCAAGCCATGGTCGGAACGGCCAAAAGATCGGATACGGATATCGGAAGAAGCATATCTCTCCACAGTTATGAAGAGGATTATGTGTTTTAACTATGGTACCTGCTTGAAAATGAACCTTTAGGTTTGAAACCTGGGTCGCTGACCTAAATTCCAGGATCACTGACAGTACTACAGGTATTTAACCTTTTTATTCATATCTTACAGTTTTGGCGACGGCAAAAATCATCTACCAAGACACTGGTTATCGTCTTCCGAGACCAACACTCATGAACATATCTTGCACTTTCGGAGACACAGGTATTGGTTACCCATAGTAACAGCAACACCCGTGAGCTCATCTTGTGGTATTTTGGCAACAGCGGTGATGGTCTGCTGCAATTAGGGCAACAGCCGTGTTTGACCTTTTGAGGAGCCGAATGCACTTGGCGTTATGGCTCCAGACAGGAAACGAGTAGACGGTCGGATATGAGGGGTTCTACTGTAGTAATAATCTAGCTTAAGCCTATTGGTGTTTATACAGGGTGAGTTTTAATTGTCCCCCCCCCCAACTTTTTTCTACATTTTTTCAAATATCAATCCCAGACCACTTCCAAACATTGTTGGGTAGTAAGTACTTCATTTTGACATTGTGGTCATTTCCGGCCGCCATCTTGGATCCGCCATATTGGATGCAAAATATTTTTTTCAAATGTAAAGGTGGGGTTGTGACCCATTATTTCGAACTAGATTTTTACCCTGATTACAATGCCGCAAACCGTTTTAAAAAATCTAGATTCATTCTAAAGTTATGAAGCCTTTTTAAAACTTTATTTTTAGCCCATTTTAACATTGTGCTTGTACAAACTAAGACCATAATCTCAAAATAGTGCTAGATAAAGATAAGTATACACTACCAGTCATTGCCAACCTATTTCCATTTTGGTTATGAATGATGTATTTTTTTCGGCAGCCATCTTGGATCCGCCATTTTGAAATGTGATAAATTATTTTTAATATAAAAGGGGTGTTGTGACCCATCATTTCGGATTACTTTTTTAAACTGAACTCAATTCCATGGTCCATTTTTTATTTTCATATTTTAATTTTGAAATATTAACATTTTTAACAAAAATATTGCAATAATTCATAAATAAAACTTGATAACAAAAAATGGATTGCGGCATTGTGTTTAGCTTAAAAAAGTAGTTCAAAATGATGGGTCACAACACACCCTTCATATTTAAAATAGTTTATCCCATTTCAAAATGGCGGATCCAAGATGGCGGCCGAAAAAATGCATCAGTCATAAATAAGTTAAAATAGGTTTACAATAATTGGTAGTGTATACTTATCTTTATCTAGCACTATTTTGAGATTATGATCTTAGTTTGTAAATGCACAATGTTAAAATGGGCTAAAAATAAAGTTTTAAAAAGGCCTCATAACTTTAGAATGAATCAAGATTTTTTTTAACGGTTTGCGGCATTGTAATCAGGGTAAAAATCTAGTTCGAAATAATGGGTCACAACCCCACCTTTACATTTGAAAAAAATATTTTGCATCCAATATGGCGGATCCAAGATGGCGGCCGGAAATGACCACCTTGTCAAAATGAAGTACTTACTACCCAACAATGTTTGGAAGTGGTCTGGGATTGATATTTGAAAAAATGTAGAAAAAAGTTGGGGGGGGGACAATTAAAACTCACCCTGTATATATATATGATAAATATGCTAAAATATAAGATGCTAAAATATGTGCGAAATATTTTATTTCTACTATTTCTAGTATTTTATCTATAAAGGCATTTTAAATTGTTAGTTAATAATGGTGGGTTGATGCTGTTTTTGCAGGCATTTTTATTTTTGCATTGGTATTATAAGACAGTATTAACCATTAGAGTACAATACATAAATGACCATCCTAAAATATGGACCTTAAAACATTGTTTTGTGGTGCCACTAAACTAAATTCATACCTGGCTTTTCCAGCCCAGTGTATTTGCTGAGGACAAACTGTTCAAGTAGCTTTTCAACAGTCATTTCCACACATTGCCTTTTGAATTCAATGTATTCCTTAAAAAGAACAAAAAATAAAGCATGGATGAAATAATTTTGGTTTGACATTAAGCACAACAATATTACACTAAAAATATTACACTTCAAAAGAATAGGATGTTAAGCAACAAATGATATGGTAAATTTAATTGAAATCAGCATTTCAGGATAGGTATACAGACATTAAAATTTAATCATACTGTTTGTTATAGCCGAAGTATGTTTAACGAAACGCTACTGAAAAGAGTACCTAGTCCATTTAGTTAACGATAGCAAGAACTGTCAAAATACAGATAAGGGGAGTCATTGGAGTTTGCTAGTTTATAGTAAAAATAAAAATACAGTGTTATAGTTATAAATAAAAGAGTTAGTGTCAATAGAAAAAGCGAAAGTAAAAATTCTCTCAACCCTCAATCTTTAAATAACCATTACTTAGACTCTGTAAACAATTTGATTAATAATTTATCAACATCGAACAAATCTTCTGAAGTCTAAATAAATGTGTTGAGGGGTATGGACACAATGGCAGATATTAGTTTTGAATTGAAACCATTTTCTGTTGAACAGGTATTTGAGAAAATTAATAGGTTAAGTAGTAGTAGATGTCTAGATGTTTTTGGACTAAACTCAGATATCATAAAAATGGCTGCAGTTTATATAGTTGAAGTACTAACATACTTGTTTAAACTTTGTATTGTTGAGGGTATATCCTGAATGTTTAAAATGTGTCAAAGAAATTCCTGTATATAAAACCGGTGATAGGTTAGATTTAATTAACTATAGACCCATCTATTCCTGTTATTAGTAAAGTATTAAAGAGTTTGATAAATGATCAAGTTGTATCCTATTTCGAAGGAAATAATCTATTTAATTACAATCAATTTGGGTTCAGAGCTAATAGAGGAAGATGCAGTTCAGAAGCTGATTTCTTATTGTTTAGATGATGACTTAGAAATGCAAAATAATGTATATTTGAAGTGTTATGATATGAAAAAAGCTTTTGACACTGTATCTGTGTTCCATGAACTAGTAATACAAAAACTTGCCTTTTATACGTTTGAAGAAAATACTTTAAAATGTTTTGAATCATATCTGTATAAAAGATATCAAAGTGTTTATTTCAATGGTGTTTTTTTCTGATTATAAACAGGTGTTACATGGTGTCCCACAGGGCTCAATTTTGGGCCCAGTATGGTTCATAATATACATTAATGACTTGCCTAAAAATATCCTAAACCTCAATGTTAAGCCATATCTATTTGCAGATGATTTAGCAATACAAATGAAAAACCCCAAGATTTATGTATTAGTTTTAATAATAGGCTTAATAAAATTTTTTTAACATTTGTAGGTGTTTACATAGAATCTAACTTAAAGTGGAGAGTCCATATTGATTATACAGCAAAACAACTTACCAAAGGAATATTTATAATAAACATGCTAAAGAACAGTGTAGATTTTAATACTTTGAAATGAATTTATTATGCACATATACATTTCCATCTCAGTTATGGAACAATTGTATTGGGAGGTAGTAATTATAAAAAAAAACTTTTGCTATTGCAAAAACAAACTTTGAAAATTATGTACAATGTTGAATTTAGTACACACAGTAAGCCTTTACTTAGGAAGGCTAATATTTTAACTGTACAAGCAATATATATTTTAGACTGTCTTGTATTTTTGCAAAAAATAGTTTTAGTTAAACAGGCACGCATGAATATGTACACAATTTCAACACACGAAACCACTGTAATATTATATCTAGAAAGTGTTGACATAGCACCACAGCTACTAGTTTTATTGAAAATCCAAACAGTATTTTAATATGTTACCCTATAGAATAAGATGTTTTAACTGTTCTAAATTTAAAATAGTACTTGAAAACTACCTATTAAACCCGTGTCCGTAAAGAGAAATAGACTTCATTAATGATGTTAAATTAAACCTTGGTTAAAACCTTAGTTCTAAGAAATTTCCTTGACTGTGCCATACATGTAAACCAATGTAACAGCAATAAAGAATTCTTATTCTTATGGTGAAACCAGCCTATTATCTACACTATTGTCAGAAAAAAATCCTCAACTAAATTTGTAGGCTATTATAAGTGAAATTTTTAACTTTTAAATTCATTAATTTTAAATAAAATGATAACTGAACAAACATAATGAAAATATGTTTTAAACATCTTATGAATTTGATATTGTATGAATAAAACTGCCAAATGGATAGTATTGAAAGTTTAAAAATAAAAATAAGTCTAATCTTACCCGCCCAATTAAGTCATGGTTGTTTTCAACAAGTTCAGAGTAGGTGTTCAGAAACTCCTTCATTTGTTTTAAATGTGCTTCTTCAATTTTTTGAAAGTGCTGAAATTAAAAATCTGGATTAGTATGAGCTTTTTAATTAACAGACATTAAGACAGTGGACTCTCTATTATCTCTTTTCTTTATTGCAGGAGAGTCAATTTCCTTTCACAACATTTTTGTTTTTGGATACTAAAACAAGACTAAACGTCCCATCACAGAGTGGGAACCAGCTAGAATAGTAGTGGATAAAGTAAGAAACATGACGTTGGATTAAGATTCGAACCACAGTAGACTCCCTCTTATTCGGACACCTTTAAAACGGACATTGGTTTAACCGGAACACACTCGGCGGAAATGACATCTCTTTAACCGGACAATTTTTATCAGCACATCGGTTTAACCGGACTAGATCGGCAGGAAGTGGGCGGTACTGAAACGACTGTTCTCGTGGGAAAGATTTTAGACCAGTGATTCTGTGTCTAATTACAATGCTCTCCTAAATTTAAGTCAACTACTGTATACAGTATGCATTTAAACGGTCCGTTTCAACGAGTCTTTGGGGACGTCGGTTTAACTGGAAAACCTGTAGGGATTCTACTGTAGCTCACTTGGCTGTGACTGGAGTTTAATGTTAATTCACGGTCAAACCTTGTACATGCGAAAGTAGAAAACTATAACCAATTTCCGAACAAATCCGACGAGAAGAAATGAACTTATAACAATAGGCATAGATGGTTAAAAAAGAAGCCAAGACATGTGAAAATGCTTAAATACATACCCTATTTATGTAGATTATAGGTATCATAGGAAACAATCTTTTAATTTGTTTATCTCAGGGTTACCAAACATCAAGAAAGACATCCTATTCTGTGATTATAGAAAGCTAACCGTTTAGAACCTTAAAAAACTTTTGCAGATTTATCTCAGGTTTGAGAAAATTTGTCTGCATATTAATTTAAATGTTTTGTATTAAAGGTGAGCTGAGCCTAGCCTACAAGCTTAAGGACACCAAGTCAGGAAATTGAGCTTGAACTGATTTTTTATGATCGCGATGCTATTGCGATTGCAGAACGTGTCCGTGAAGATCACTCTGTTGACAAGTTCACGCTTTTAATGTGGTCACGAATGAAGACTATAACGTTTCCGTGGTTACAATAGACTATGATGATGTCCCTACGACCACTGGAGGTATTCAATATTTTGCCGGGTTTGATAAAGAAAATGACAGTGTCTAGACACGAACGCGGAACATCTCAAAGATTTTTCAACGATTTGGGAAGACGTTGATGATGTTAACATTACCATGGAATATTTAATATTTTGTCACAATTGTGGGAGACAATAATGGTGTTTTTGTGATGGTGGAAGATATTCAGGATTTAGCCACAATCAAAGGAGACAATGATGATGCCCACCGACTGTGACATTTCTGCAAAATACTGAGTCAGTGTACAATGCACAAAACACCAAATTTGTGATTACTGGATTTAATGCTGCTTTTAATGCTGTTTTTCCAAATACATCAAACATTAAATTGCATTTTGAAAAGATGATTTGTGTCAGTTTTACTTACATGTAACCGTCAACAAGTTCCTGAAATGAATTTCTGTAGACATTTAGCGTGATCGCCAGCGAGAAATTCGCCTTGCAGTAGTTGGTACACATCCTGGGGAGGGTATTTCGGTAGTGGGAGTATAGCTGACGAGCCGTAGTCTAGCATTGGAAAGTCTTTTTTTGTGTACCTGCAAGTCTACATTGTCGGTTACTGTCCGTTGTGTACCTGCATTAAAAAATAGCAATTCACAAACAGCGTGCAAACATTAATTTCTGTGTTTTACTTAAAAAACCACCTAGTGAGACTCTTGAATTGTTAATTCAAGCTTATGGAGAAGAGGCGATGAAGAAAAGTCAAGTTTATGGATAGCACAAACGGATTGTGAAGGCCATGAAAGCAATGACGATGACCCTCATAGTGGATGTCCTTCAACAGCAGTCAAAAACGTAAACATTGAGCGAGCACAATTTCATTGATTTTAAATTTCCGATTTTATTGCACAAATTGTCGTACTCGCTCAATGTTTACGTCATTGACTGCTGTTGAAGGACGTCCACTTGAAGGGTCGTTGTCAATGCTTTCATGGCCTTCACAAAACCATTTGTACCACTCATAAACTTGACTTTTCTCCATAAGCTTGAATTAACAACTCAAGAGTCTAATTAGGTGGTTTTTTAAGTAAAACACAGAACTTAATGTTAGCACGCTGTTCGTGAAATGCCATTTTTAAATGCAGATACACGAGCGACAGTAACCGACAATGTAGACTTGCAGGTACATGAAAAGTGCTTTCCAATGCTAGACTACGGGTCGTAAGCTAAACTCCCACTTACCGAAATACCCTCACCAGGAGTCGTACCAACTACTGCAAGGCAAATTTCCCGCTGGCGATCACGCTAAATGTCTACAGAAATGCATTCTGCGAAATTTTTTACTAAAGTAGTATTATAGCCTGTGACATTAGGTCAAATTAATTATATGGATAAGCTGGTTCAAAAAACCAGAAGCTCAACTCAGGATCGGCTCAATCTAAAATCTCAGGCTCCCACAACTCTATTTTGTATGAATTAGAATAGTTCTAACCTTTTAATATTTTTTGACCATACTAATTTACAAAATATTTACATAAACCAATTATAATGTTTTCCTTACAATTAAGACTTTGATAAAATTTGAAAAATTTGAATTACCTGACATGCCAGGGACATTTTCTTTTCAAAGTCCTCCTTGACTGAACTATACTTATCTACAAGGGTTTTATACTCTTCTTGTGCTTTTTTTAGTTTCAATTCTGCTTTTTCTAGCTCTTTCGCTGAAGCATTATCTTTTTTCAATTTGTCCAGCTCTTGTCCTCGTTGAACGTAAATATCTTTTGCTTTTTGTAGGGTAACTGACGTTGACTGTATTGCCTGAGCAACTTCTAATGTTCCACATTCTTCTTCTTTTACCTGAAAATATGTCATATGTTATATGCTCAAAGTGAAAAATCACTGGTTGGTTTAATTTAGTGGTTGACACATTAGAATATTGTCAATATGTAAAAGTCCCATGTTGTGTGATGGAATACCCCACTGACGTTGTAGTATTTATGCACTTTAAATCATGTAGCGTGTAAATAAATTTCTTGGCCAATTTGGTTTCAGAATGTATTTGAAGACTTTTGGTCAAAATTGACTGTCATTATATCTACATGATATTGAATAATCTCGCATTTTGTTGATAGTGGTAAGAAATGTATAGGAAATATTATCATAGCAAGCCATACAATGACTCACTTCCTGGCAATATCTTATTTTGTTAGATAAATAACTGCTCTATAGTAATTGTCTTCCTGTCTTCTTGAGTTCAGTATTAAAGAAAACGCTGTTAAGGACAGACAAGTGACAATGTTGTGTGAGAAGTGTTAAATCGTTAAATGTGTTAACACATATGTAATACAATCTTGAAAGATTTTTAGCCATTAAAACATAAAATTTAGTGTTTTGTGGAGCTCCAGAAGAGGAAGAATGTCATACAATTTCAAGTGGTAATGTATATAGCCTACTGACATTATGTTTGAATTTTTTGAAATATCAGATGAAAAAATGTTAATCTGAAAACTTGTTTTTTTTTCAGGCAGAACGCCTACAGGTGGTTATAAAGCTGGGACTATCAAGACCTTAACTTCTGCTTTAAACTAAATTATAGATGTTACAGAAGAACTTGCTTACTTTGACTAATAAAATTTCATTACTTGTGCTGTTGACAAAGAATGCAAATACATAGTAGTCCCACTGATAAAAACTAGGAAACCACAAATTATACTGGTGAAATTGTGAATACACCATTTTCGATGATAAAAACATTGGTGGTTTTGTTAGGTCCCTTTTATTCACCGCGGTAGCCCGCCGCGGTTTTGTAAATGCATTGCCGTAAATGGGTGCTTTTATTCAAATAGGAGCGGTCTCAGAAGTTGCGGGTACCCGCGGAGGTTTGTAAATTCACCCGCTTGCGCTTAGAAATCGCAGGCGGCGAGCGGTTCGTATATGCATTGTGTTTATGGGATCGTTTAATCAACGCGGGAGCCCGCCGTTGCTCTTGCACTGCTGCCAACCCAAGTCACCAGTGTCACTCACTACACGTGGTCTAGTCATTCGGCTGTGCGCATTGTACTTAATGTAGTTGTTTTGTCTCTCGCCTTTCAAAATGAATTCATGTTACGGACATTTTTACGGAACGATTTACTGTATCGACGAAGTAATAACAGCTAAGTTCACTCAGTGACTGTCGACTATCGGAATGGGTTGGCAGCACTGTTACACTATACACGTGACAGCGGTCGATCGCAGGTGACACATTGGTGCAGCGGGCAACCGCAGTGAATAAAAGGAGCCTTATGGACCAGAGTAATACCATGGCATTTATCTCTGAGGGCCAATTAACAAATTAGGTAGGTACATTTGTTCACTGTCTCAAATATTTGGATATTGATCTTATGTGACCAATCACAAGAAATTCTAGATAAATAATTGCATCACAGATTGAATAAACTATATACAGAGTGTCTTGCAACCACATGAACAAACTTTGTCATGTTATTTGTGTATCAAAAGAAACAAAAAATGTAATATAGCATGTGTCCTATCTCATTCAGTTTTCGGTCTATCTTTTTGTATGTTATTTTTACAAAAACATTCATAACTCCTTACTGTTTGAGCTACAGCATAGAAATTCTGTAAAAATGTTTATCTTATTGACTAGGCTACTGTTTTTGTGCAAAATAATACTAATAAAAAATCTTGAACCGTTAAAAAATGGCACCTTTTAAAAATATTTTAAGCCAAATTCCATGAAAACCATTAATTTTACAAAATATTTGCAGGGAATGTAAAATTTACCTACTAAATTTTATGCAGATTACATATGCAGATTGCCGGCAACGTGTTCCCTAACTAAAGTGAGGTTATCCCACACTATGAAAACCATAGTTTTTAACCCTAATTGTTTTACTATTTTCGTGTCCACTATGACTTGTTTTGTGTTAAATGTTATGACACTTTCTACGAAACCCAACGGGTGGATTCAACTAGGCTATACAAATTTGGTCAACCTAGACTCCGACTGATGATGGACCTTCGGGTCTGAAATTAATTTCGGATCGATAAAATAGGATTGCTAAGGTATAAGGTCCTATCCTATAATATCCTAATAAGGTCCTTATAGGCTAAGGTCCTTATATCAATTAATTATATATATATATATATATACAATCCAGAGGCTAAAATGATTGATTCTCAGTTATTATTTGTCTAAACTAGGCTTATAAGATATCGTTGTAATCTGCATAAAATTTAGTAAATTTTACATATCCTGCAAATATTTTGTACAATTAATGATTTTCGTGGAATTTGGTATCAAATATTTTTGAAAGGCGCTATTATTAAACAGTTTAAGAGTTTTTATTCATATCTTGCACAAAAATAGTGGTCAATAAGATAAACATTTTTACAGAATTTATACGCTGCGGCTCAAGCAGTAAGGAGTTATATGAATGTTTTTGTAAAAATCACATAGGTACAGACAGATAGACTGAAAACGGAATGAGATAGGACACAATCATGTTAGTATAAATTTTTTGTTTATTTTGACATGCTGAATAACGTGACAAGGTTTGTTCATATCTTTGCAAGACAATGTTTTTGCAAGAGATGTTTTTTTTTTCATATCGTAGACCTATAGGTTATTTAAAATTACCACTATGTTTAAACAGTAAGAAAATGTTATTCACTCTCGCAATTCACGCATTACATTTTTGGGGATTTCTTAGTTCATTTAAGCATTGCCTATTTTAATATGTTATAACATGTTTAAATGATTTACTGAAATGATAAGCCCTATTTTAATTTAAAAGTGAAAAGACATACAGTTTTCACAGTAACTTGAGCAAACTTACGGTTTTATGCTTTTTATGTAGCTCATCAGCGTATTTTGTGACCTCTTTGACAAGCTCCGATATCTTGTGGACCATCTGTAGGTGGAGTTGAGATAACTTCTCCGCTGTTGATCGAACAGCCTGCCATACTGGAGCAAACGTTCCTTGCACACATCCACTGCCAGCCTGCTTGGCTAACTTTCCCAAAACTTTCGAGTTATACTCTTCTATGTTTGAACTGGGAAAAAAATAATTAAAAATTAATCTAATAGATAGCAGTTTATTAGAAACATTTAAAATTTATTAGATATATACTTGATCAGCATTGTTCCTGAACCTGTTATTAAATCTACAGGAAGTAAATAAAAAATATATCTGATAAAACTTAAAAGATATATAATTAACTTAGACTTATGCAAGACGGTAAATTGTTAAAAGATCGCAAGTGGTGATCAATTTCGATAAAAGTATAGTGTAAATATATGTTTTTAAGCGTTATTAGACATACTTTTAATTTACTTTCCCTGAATAGATTAAGTAGGCTAGACATACTTTTTATTTACTTTCTCTGAATATATTAAGTAGGCTAAACAGTTTAATTAGACAGAAAGTATTATGGGTATGATTTTACATATGTATACGCTTAAATAATTGTTTTTACTTTTTTTATCTGTGTGAATTTCTAATTATCTTTACTCATACCTGAGAATAAAAAATAAAAAGATATTTTGCAGCTTAGGATTCATTAAGAGTAAATACCAAATATCAAATGTGGTTTATTTTTAGTTCCAATAATAAACTATTACAGTACAGAGACGGTTTTATGTGAAGCCTGGTCATTCGCAACGTTGGTTAAACATATGAAGAAACAAAAATATAATTGACATGTGCACCATGTTCTGCGATTGTGGAAGACAAACGCTGATATCGCCGAGACTGAAGGATATAGCCTACTAACAAGCGTTGCTCGATTACCAGTGTTGTCGAGACCTCAAGAGATGTTCACAGGCATTGCTAAAAACTCGGGAGGCCATCATTGGAGTGACCGAAATTGCAAGATAGGCATAAGGTCGACACAACAACTAGAGACGATCACGAGTACAAATTATTTAAAAAATACAACAATAAGCTAAAATGTTATCAATCAAAGAAAGATATTGTTCCGTATTCAACTTCTTCCAGCAATGACCCACTATCCGAAAAAAAATCAGTCTTCCAGTCATACCTTACCTCCAATATTGTTTCGGATAGTTGGCTCTATACTGTGCCAGTACTAAGGTATTTTCGCAGTGGAATAAATTTTGTTTACTAATATATATTTAGCATGATATGGATTGGTTTGGCTTCAAGATCGTAGTAGGCCTACTTATAGCAAATTATACTTACATGGTTCAAGACCAGTAGTTTGGCTGGTCTTTTACAAAATCTATAAGAAATACCATTTAGTATAAAAGATCATAATCACCTCTCCCGGAAGAATTCAGCTAACTCCTTGCTGGCGACAAGGCCAAATTTCATATTATGGTACAAAACATCAAATCCATTATTCTTCTCACCCTGAAACATGTATAACAAATGGTAAAGGTTGCCACTAAAATTAAAATGACATCGCAGAAAAAACAATACTTAGTCATGAAAAAAGGACATTCTCACAGGTTATTACATAGGTAATCTTGTAAGTAGACCTATAAATAAATCATTGAGTGAGTGGAAAATGTAGATAATAATCAAATTTTACAATACAACAAATAACAGGAAATTTATCTTAAAAACAGAACTTTAATCCAACAAAGTGGTAGACTTTTGTTCTTAGGTCAAATAAGGGTAGGCTAACAGGTCTGTGAAAAAGTAAATGGAGCATGACATGAAAAGTAACCGTTCAACAACATGAGCAAGTCTAAAATAGAGAATTTATAGAATGAGATAAGCAGCAACTGTTGCTAAATTGCTGTTCTAGGGTGTAACATCTAGAGCCTAACCAAACATCGTCCATCACTATTTGATTAAAATGAAAAATATTTACGATAATTTAACTTTAAGTTGAGGTTATCTGATATTGAAATTGTGTTTTCCTTTTTACTAACCAAAACCCAGAAGTGTAAACATCCTCCCGAGGGATAACTTATCTGCCCTGCCAAAAGGAGACAGCCTAGTACTTAGGCCTAGCTCTATTTCAGGGAAACATATTACTTTGAATTAAAAAGAGACTATAATTGCAATGTGGTATGTGGATGTTTTCCATTACTAGAAAGTAAGTTGAATAAAGCAGACAAAAAATTGAAATATCATCGATGTTATCGGTATAGCGACGGTTGACGTCAATATTACCATCGATGGTTGACCAATCGATGCTCATCCCTAGCCTATGTATTTTTTATGTAGGCTGCCTATTTATGTCTTGATGTAAAACTAGATGTTTTGATTGTCAATTTTAAGCCTACTGATAATAATCTAACAATAAGAATAATTAAAATGATAGGAAGGGTAATTAGACTGTTGTTTGAATATCATAAAGCCTTCAAAGTCCTCAAAATCCTTAAGAAAAAATAACACTCACGAAGTGTAGCCCAACATGAAATTGCCTCTCACGACTACAGATAGCCACCATGAAATAAGAGCTTATTATTATCGTCAACCAGTTGGCTTTGACTAAATAAAAGGGGCTAGGCTATAGCGACTGAAGGTGTCGCTATTAGATGTACGGGACTGTAGGAGTGTAATATTCAAGCCTCCTAAGAGCCCAATCAAAATTTTATATCTAACTATTTAATTTCTTTCATATTTAAAAAATAATCATCCTTTTAACCGTGATTACACAAGGCTGGTAGACAAGCGATCTACAGTAACCTGCCTCCGTTAATGTATTTCTGAAAGTTACCTTTGACCGGATATCCTGCCTGCCTAACTAGCTTCTTGTAAACATGTATTTTATGAATAGCCTATGTCCTTATCTGATCCTAAAAGGTATGATTTAAGGTAGGCTATTAATTAAAACAGCAATACAGTAACTTAGAGTAGGTACATACGACAAAAAACTACGATTCAAAACTCTAGCCCAAAAACTTTACTGGTTATTTTGGGTACAGTTTCTTAACTGGGCTATGCTAATATTGATTGAAACTATCGATTTGATTAGTAAACCTTCATGCGATTTTTTCACCATCAGCAAGTTTGGTTGGTTAGGTTAGGTTTTGATAGTTTTATTTTATAATAGATATATTTAAAAATATCGATTAATAAACAATATTTTCAATTCGATAGTTTCAATTAATATTAGCATAGCCCAGTTAAGAAACTGTACCTGTTATTTTTAATGGCAAACTATAATACTTTGCTACTGAGCTAAATTACGAGCTATATATGCCTACAATGAGAGTAGGCCTAGTCTTTTACTGTAACGACTCAAGAGCATAAGTGAGAGACAGCAGTTACAAAAAGTACATAAATGGCATAATAACATCGGAGTATAAATACCAAGGTTGACTATAAATACTAACTGGGACCTAGCCTAGGCTATAATAGAGGGGTTGTGGGCTAGGTTATGAAAGACATTATCAGCAGAGCCTAGGTAAAATCTTGGTGCTATAATAGTAAAGGCTTCACAAGCACCATGGATAAAGATGACGTTAAAAAAATACTGGGAGGATAATATACAACTTATTTTTTAATAAGATTCAATAAGAAGGTACATGGAAAGAACATAAGAGAGAATTTTTATTAGTCTAGCCTTGTGAATTATCTCTGCTTACCCAAAAATAATCACTAAAATCAACCATATTGACTACAAATTTTTCATAACTTAATGGAACTTTTAACAACAACCGTTAAACACCTAAACATCCCCGTGACAAATTACACCGACTTTTATTTTTCTTTATGCTAAATATTTAAAGTTTTAACACTAATTGTCGAATTGTTCAGTCCAATAGTGACTTTTGGTTTTGACTTTTGTTTAACAGTATTCTGTGAAGTGAAGTGAAGTACAGGAGTGCCACAACACAACTAAAGCTTTTTTCAGATGCTTGGGTAGTTTCGTATCAGCATAGAATAAGAATTCTCAAGGGATATGGTATCAGAATCAGAATCGGCAAGGGACATTCACTTTGGATGCTGCAATAAGAATACTTCTCATCATATCCATCGTTGGTCAACAACTATTTTTTTCGGACCAAATCAACAAAACATAGCGTAATTAATATAAAAATGTCTTTGTAGTTCAAATAAACCAAAATAGTGGTTGTTAAATTTTAAATCAAAAGTTTATTTCAGTGTAGGCTATGTATTTCAAATCAGGTTACGCTTGAGTGCAATGATGCTAACTGTATCTTTGTTTGTTTGTTCATCTAAGTTTAAATGTGAGTAGTGGGTGCTCACAAGGGGTGCACTTGGTTCTATGTGTTACCAAATAGCGTAAAAATAGTTTAAAAACACTTTTCAGACATTTTCCCGGGGAAGGCCACCCCGACCCCCAGATGATCGTTAAACCCAATCTCTGATCTGTAGCCTAAAAGCTGTGGAGGAGGAGGACCCAGTAAAACTACTCGGCTTTTGGATAGACTCCAAATGTAACTGGAATTCCCATTATAGAAAAGGTGGAACTTTCCCGCATAATCTACCTTCTGAGAAAACTGAGATCAGAAATCACTCTGCCTTATCTGACGAATGTTTACCACGACCTCTTTCACAGTCATATAACATACGGCTTGGTCCTGTGGGGTCACTGTCCAGCTGCGCATCAGGTTTTACTACTGCAAAAGATGGCACTTCGCCCACTTCGGGTGATTACTTTTGCGGGATACTATGACCACTGTCGCCCGATTTTTGAAGAACGACAAGTACTTACTGTGTTCAGCCAGTATGTTTACAACATCCTTGGTCTCCTGAAGGAAAAGGAAACAGACTTTGGCAGAAGGAGAGACCAGCATACTTATGAGACACCCGGAATGCAGTAGACTTAGATATGCCCCGATGTCGTCTAAGCAGATCTCTGAAATGCTACCCACGGTATGCTATTAGGATTTTTAACTCACTTCCTAAAACGATAAGAGACTTGAAGATTGAGCCCTTCAAAAAGACCCTCCTTAAAGCACTGTTGAAAAGGCCATTGTACTCGTTGGCCGAGCTAGAGGAGCCACTCTTTCCACCCTGAGGAGTATTCAAATAAGTCTAAATCCAAACCGCCATGCCACAATGTTTTTGTAGTGTTGTAAAAATATTAGTTTTGTATAAATTTGTATATAGTAATTAATTAATTGACGCAATCTATCTGATAATGTCGGTCAAGGATGAAGACATCAAGTATTAAGTAAGTAAGTAAGTTATCTATTGCACCCCCCTGTTCCAAATCCTGCGGGCGCCCATGATGTGAGTGAAATGTTACAGTGTTAGGTTTACTCTTTAGTAATATACCATTGATCAAGCATCCTTCCTTTCTGTCGTTAGTTAGTCTATGATAATACCCAGGGGAAAAGCTTTACAAATACATTTTTTATTTGATTGTTAATCGTCATAAATTCATTCATAAATGGTAAAGTGGAAAAACAATAAGAAATAAAAAGTGTATGGCCATAAACTCTCAGCATATACTGTACAGTTTATAGAAAAGAAACTTACCTTACAATTAATTGCCTTTAGCTTATCGTTAAAAACTATCATCCAGTTTGCGGGGGGGGGTCAAGTAGGAGCGGTCAATCTACCGGAGTGTGAAGGTAAATTGTACAGTATAAGTTAATTTGTACAGTTCATTAGACATCTGATCTTTTAATATTTTAAAATCCGCTATCATACATACAGATCAAACCAAGATTTAAAAACAAATGTAAAAATTTCACAGTTTGTTTTTTATATAGTATCTCGTAATTTTAATTTCGATTAAAAAGGCGTCGTTTAAGATTCCTTTCTAAAAGCCTTTCTTTAGAATCAGCTGACTATGTATAAATATTAGTTTTTACCATTCATGTCATACTTTGTATCGTCTAGTTGGTTACCTACCTGTCGTCATTCGTAGTTAGTTAGTTCAATTCATGAATTAGGCAAGATACAAGTGTCATTAAACTGTCGTAAATAAATCAGATCGGATTCTTAAGATGAGATTAGGAATAATTTAATCCAGGCCCTGATTTTTAAATAATTTTAACTGATATGGGAGCTAAAGATTCAAAGCAAACTTGCATTACATATGAAGAGGCTGTCAAGAGAGGTAAGATTAACACTTCCCTATTTAATGTAAATAATACATTTGCGGATTACATTGGAATAAAGCAACGGATAAACCATAGCTAGTTGGTTTAACATTCGAATAACCATCTTAGATCTTAGGAAATGCAAGATTCTTTGCATATAAATCCATTTAGTGTTTACACTTCAAATAACCCAGGGCCTTGGTATCAAGTGTTTTCCTGGTGCCATATAGGCCTCTAGGCCCATTTACACTTTTGAATCTTTACTCATAACTAGGCATATTCATTTCAACCCAGGATAGTTCTTTCCATTCAAGGGAATGTAATATATTTGAGTGAAATAGGCTTTTAAATTTGAGGCGGCGGCTCTATTAGATCAATAACTTGCTGTAAGCTATATTTCCTACCAGCTCAAATCTTCTGAAGAGTATAACAGTCAGCTTTTCTTTTTATTAGAAGGGATGTATTATACTAATTAACTATTCCCAGGAACTAGTTTTAACATGTACCTAGTTAGTTGGCAAGAAGGTTAGGAAATTAATCTCTGGACACTTGTTTAGGAATGGCCTGCCTGTCCAACAGGCTTTTTACTGTTGTGTTCGTGGGTTGAGTTGGACTTAGGAAGTGGACTACTGAAATAAATAAATACGATAGTTTTACATGTTTAACACACGGCTACAAACGGGTGGTTAAAGTTTGAATTCTGGAGGTAGACTCGCTGTTGTAGGGACGGACGGACATGGTCGGTGGTGTGATGTAGGTGGAGAGGGGATCAGGTGATGTTTGTAGCCAATGAGATTTATTGAAAATCATACGATCATAGTGGCGTGATGTACAAGGAAATCATAGTTACAACGGATATTAATATTCTTAAGATATATTACAATTTCCTCCCTTTTAAATTTGAACAAAACACTGCAAAAAAATGTGAACTTTTTATATATAGTCCATTGGTGGTAGAGTGATATTTCTTGACGCTTAACCTAATCAACAATCAGAAAAAGTATAATAATCATTAAGTATAACATAGTATTAAACATCAAGAATCATGGTAAACAGAAAAAACACACACAAATACAAATCGGTAAAACAATCATAAGTCTAATCTATTTACAGGTTTCCTAACGCGTTCAGGATTGCGTCGTGGTTGACTTTGACAGGTGTTATTACTATTACTACTATCACTACTACGCACAGCTGATTTTACGCACGCGGATACGGGCATAGTACTATGTGCGGGGGAAGGGGGGAGTGACTTCCTGGCTGGTGGTGTAGATCGCCGCGCTGGAGAAGCGGGGAGTGACCTCCTACCATTCGCTGGGGTGGTTGCCATGCCAACCGGCTTGCTGACTACGTCCTTGGCGGGGGAAGAAGTACAATGCCTCTGGTATTGCGGCGTTGCCAACTCTGGGTCTGAGCTAGCGGATGTAGGGGTTGCCACGTTTCTATGTACAATATTTTCAGCAAAATCCGTATCTCTGTGCAGCGGACTGTTATTTAAACCGATCAGCTGATCAATGTGACGCTTAGTAACAATGCCTGAACTTAACTCTATTTCATACATAACAGGACTGATTTGCTTGTGTACAGTACCCTGTAACCATTTGTTGTTTGACCTGTAATCTCTCATCAAAACAGTTTGACCTGGATAAACTATCCTAGTACTCTTTGACTTAAAACTATTTTTACATTCTTCTTGTTTCTTATTTACAAAATGTGTTACGTTTGGTCTCAATAGATCCAAACGGGTGCGCAGTTTTCTGCCAAACATCAGTTTACTGGGTGTTTCATTGGTAGTTGAGTGAACAGAGTTTCGATAATCGAATAGTATTCTACTCAAGGCTACGTCAACATTTACATTGTCATGAAAAGCGCGCTTTATTTTGTCTTTAGCAAACTTAACGCTGTTTTCAGCTTGCCTATTACTTTGAGGATGGTAAACAGGACTGAAAGTATGTCTGATACCGTTCATTTCCATGAAATGTTTGAATTCAGCTGACGTAAATGGTGGTCCATTGTCAGAGTGTAGATTAACAGGTAATCCAAACCTACTGAATAATTCTCTTAAAAACTGTATAGCTAGTTTTGCGGAAGTTGAACTAACTTCACCTACTTCTAACCATTTTGAGTGAGCGTCAATAACGATCAAATACATTTTATTTTTGAAAGGCCCTAGGTAGTCAACATGAATGCGTTCCCAAGGAGCGGATGGGTAGTGCCAAACGTGTAATTGGCTTTTGGACGGATTGTTCCGTTCCCGAAGACAGGAAGAACAGCTGTTAGCTATGTTGGTGATGTGTTCATCAATACGCGGCCACCAGACATAGGATCGAGCAACCGACTTCATTTTCACGATGCCTAAATGGCTAGAGTAAAGCTCTTTAAGTACATAGTCCCTTAAAGTTACTGGTACGACTACTTTATAACCCCACAAAATAATCCCAAATTCAACTGTCAGTTCGTTCTGTCTTTGGAAATACGGAGCAAGTTCTTCGTTTCCCTCTGGAATGACATTAGGCCATCCGTTTACAATATAACCATATATTTTACTTAAAACTGGGTCTTTCTGTGTTTCTGACTTTACATGTTCAAATGTCAAAGGTAATGAACTCTCCTGTAAACAATGTAAATAAGTACCTTGCCACGCAAACTCATCAGTAGCATTGTTGTGATTAACACTCAACGGCAATCTAGATAACATATCTGCGTTGTTTTGATCCGATTTTACATATTGAATGTCAAATTCGTAACCGGACAAGAACAAAGCAT